TATAAATACACAACTATAGGTTGAAAAAGGAGTGAAAATATATCACGTAATATATTCTAGAGAGAGAGAGTTAGAGAGAGAAAGAGAAATAGGAAGGAAGGAGGAGAAAACCCTTTAGAGAAAAGATCAAGAAAGAAGAAGTTTAACTTTCAATCCGAAAGTTTAAGGCAAGTTCTTCTTCTATCTCTTTCCCTTTGATTCGTGTTTCTGTATATGCCTAGGAAATTCTAGGTTTTATTAAACACATAAAATTAAATAATTATGCATGTTTAATTGGTTTAGAACATATGTTTTATGAAATTGGTTCATATCTGTTCTTGTGTTATGAATTGATAAATGCATGATTTTGATTTGATTTTCGGTGTGAATTTTTATATGTTTACATTCTGTATTTTTTCATATCTGTGGAATGATGGAACGTAGAAACATGCCTAGGATTCCTGAACATTAAATAGGAACTAGGTTTGGGTTTAAATAAATTTAAATAGACTCAATCATAATGATGCTTGCTATTTGAATGTTTTAAACAAACGAATGAATTTAATCTTTTAATATGTTTAAGCAATTGAGATTAAATGTGTAGGATGAATTGGATACGGAGAATGCTTATTTGACGGTATAATAAAATATCATCATGTATAAGATTCAGTTTGTGTAGGACATATGATATAGGAAGCTTAAATAAATAATATATCATTCATATTTTGTGATAACTTGATATCATATTATCATAGTTATTTCTGGATTGTTTGATGTATTTCCTTAATCGTTACATTAATGGTTGGATTGTGTGGTTTAATGCACCGGTATGGGACGGTGGCATTCTAGGGACGGATTAACTTATCAGTTAAGTCCTACCTATTTTATATAAGAGAATGGATTAACTAAAATGTTAAGTCCTACTTATATTCAAGTCAGGTCAGCTGAACAAGTTGAATGACTTATGGAGGATTAATTTATTATATAAGGGAATGGATTAATTAAAATGTTAAGTCCTACTTATATTCAAGTCAGGTCAGCTGAACAAGTTGAATGACTTATGGAGGATTAATTTATACTGAATAGGATGGTTACTAGATTATATATATATAAGTATGGTGCCATGATATGAGCTTGAGTCTCAGGATCAGTGGTCAGGGTGCGTATATCGCCAGGGATGTGTAGCTAGTTATAGTGTAGTTGTGTACCCTGGTAGGTCTAGGTACTCATGCCCACTATATGTGCGTTTTGCATGTTGCCTACTATTCAGGTTGAGACAACCCTATAATCTAGTGAGGTTCCTTTAGTGTGTGTATATATATATATATATACGGACTACTAGTTACTGTTGGATTGACTAGGATGTATATGTGTATCGGATCTCTGCTTGGACTATAGTAGAGTAGAACTTGTTTGTGGGCCTGACCCACCATTATTTTTCAGGTGTTCGTCAGGAGTAGAGGTTGTTCGTGCTGAGCGGGGATCAGTCTATTTCATTCTTCCGATGCTACATAGGAGTTCCTTTATGATTCAGTTTCCTGATTTAGACAGTTATTGCTGCCATTTGTTTAGTTTGATTTTCTAGGGGTCCACACAGTATGGATTCTCGAGTTGTATTTTGGAGGATCAGTTGTATCAGAAGAGTTTATTAATTAATGGAAATATATTCTGAGGTTTATTATTAGATTATCATTTTAGTTTCTTGTCAGCATTTTATTTATTCTTCTTTATTTTTTTGTACTCTGTGTTCGTTTATTATCAATTTGTTTTGATATCCTCGGGTATTCGGGCGTGGGCCTGGCCAACCCGCATTCGGAAATTCGGGGGTATCACATATATCACCACCGACCTCGAAATTCAGATCCTCACCGTTGGCAAATTAGTCGTCGGTCATCACGTGACTCAGTCCGCTTCACCATCTCTGCTGGTTTTCACGTTGATGGAGCTGCAACTGGGTATTTCTTCACCGTTCGATTTGGTCACCACCGTTAGGTCGTTCATGCTCAGGTCTTCTCGCCATGGGTGTTTGCAATCGCTGAAACTGGGTCGCCAAAATCTTCACCTCTTTCGTCGTCGACAAGCTTAAACCCACTAACCTCTTGACCTATTAAAAACCCTAGCTTCTCATGGAGACGAAGTTTAATCACAGCAGCGACGAGGTTCGGGTTTAATCACGGCGACAACGTGGTTCATGGCGACGGCAGGTTCATAACGACATGATTCATGTGCTGGGTTTCAGTTGGGTGTTGTGGCTTTAGGTTTTGTTTTGGGTGGGAGTGGTGGTAATAGAGGTGTTTAGGGGTTGTGGTGATGGAGGTTTTAGGTGGGTGGTGGTGGTGGTGGTGATGGAGGTTTTGGGTGGGTGGTGTTGAAGGCTCTTCTAAGTCAAACCCAAACCGATTGTACTACTTTAATTCACGAGAACTCGCCAAATCTTCTAACCATTGTTAACCAAATTAATTTCCGGTGACCACAAACCCAAAACCCATCAAACCGTCATCTTTTCCGGCAGATCCCTGTGAAAAGAAAAAAAGAAAAGAAAAGAAAAAGAAATGCAATAATATTAACAATTTTATTGACGAAACAAAACCACTTGCTTGTGAAATTGGGGGTTTCGATTCTCTCGATTGGTCTTGCTTTTAGACTCTTCTCTCTCAAGCCTGTGGGTTTTTTAAATGTTGCAAAAACCCATTTTCTCCAGAAAACTTGAACACACAACCACCACATAGATATATAGTGTGTGTATATAGATATATAGTGTATATATGTGTGTTTGACTATATTTATTAATTTTGTGTATAAATTAAGGTTTGGTGAGGGAAAGGAAAATATTGTATATGTGTGCGAGTGTGACCGGTTTTGGAGGTGGCGGCCATGGGTCTGTAACATTCTTGATTGATTTTGGAGAAGATGAACGTAGAGAGGGGTGAGGTGGGTAAAGGGTATTTTTGTCCTAAAAAAAATTAAAACATCCTACTTGTAAGTCAACAATTAGTCAAAGGGGGTAACATAGTCATTTTGCATGTAAAGTACTTTGCCCACCCATGAAAAATGACATTTGGGGTGTGAATGAAATACTAAACCACTAATTCAAGTATAAGTGAAAACTAAAACCAAAATCTTCATTTAGCTGAAATATGTCTTAACCTCAGGTGGTCTATGTGTAATTTACCCTAAAATTAAACATTAAGAAAAAAAGAAAAAGAAAAAGGTTAGGACAAGTCTCAAATTTTAGAGGGAGGCAGGCCCATAGGTACGAGGAAGAAAAAAATAAATAAATAAAAGTTTGGGCAAGTTTTTCAGACGACACAATCTGCTTCGATACTCCGTAGGGCTCAACCTCCGCTATCGCCTCAGGCTCAGGTGACACCGTGACAAGGTATGTTCATCCTCTCTTTTCTCTTCTCTCTCCTTCTGCATGAATCGATCTTTTTGTTTTCCTCTCCCTAAGTTCACTCCAGTCTCACAACAGCAGCAACCATACCCATTCTCCTCATAATTATTTGCATTTTCACATTCAATCCTACGAAAATTAAGGATCCCTTCTAGTGGGTTGAGGACCTGAGGTAATAATTAACTTTTTCGATCTCTAAATTGTGCTCATACTTAAAAGAGCCGAGTTAAGGGTTTTTATTTTTATTTTATATGAAGATACATGCCATCATTATCGAAAAAAATTTTACTTATAAAAAAAAAAAAAAAAAAATTGTTTGTGTCATCAATATGTCATTTTCCAAAGTTTTTAGATAAAAATAAATTGAACTAATATTGAAAAACATAAACAAATTGGAATTGAAAATCACAAATTTTTGACAAAAAAATTCAAGCACTCCTTTGTCTATAGGGTATTCCAAACCTCACATTTCATTTTAGAAGATAAGCTACATACTTTAGGTAAAGTTTAAGACTATGTATGGTACACCGAAAAAGAAAAGATAGTATAAACATCAGTGATGAGAGAAAATAAAAGAAAGTAAATGATAGCATATTGTCAACCACTTATTGTGTTTGATGAATTAATAAAGGAAAAGAAATGAAAAGAATTAATATCCAAGTTTGGAAAAAGAAGCATATGACTGGATAGTCTAGAGTGTTAGTGCCTTCGGTGGACTTTGGAATGTCAGGCTTTGACTCTTTGTATTTATTAATTTAACACTTCTTGCCTTCGAAAAAAAAGAAAAAGTGAAACTATTTTAATTAATTTATTACCATACCCTTTTTCATATATTTTGTCTTTTATAAAAATAAATGCAAATTTAATATTAGCAAAATTTTATTAAAAATGTTAACCTTTCTTCTCATTGACATGCCTAATTTTTACCCTTCTCGTCCGTTTCTTTTCATTTACTTTCAAAATCTATACCAAATATAATATTCACCTTATTATAAAAAAAGTAGAAAGAACTATTAGGGATGACAATTTATTTCGACCCGTGGGTTTCCGCCCCGCCCCCGCCCCTAATGGGTGGATTTGGTGTTCCCTTAAATGGGTTTGGGACAAATATGGTAAAATAATTGAAAACCAGAAGCGGGTTTGGGGAGGGGGCGGATTTAGTGATGAACCTGCCCCGACTATATATGTACCTCTAATTTATATATATATATATATATAATATTTTTAAGACTCTTGTTACTTTGCTGGAAGTGTCCGTTAATATATTAATATTTATTATTTAGTAATTTAAAAGTTGGGTCAACTTATTTATCCGTCCAATTTGAACACATTGGGCTAATTTTATTTACTACGTAATAAAAGTGACATAACCCGACCCGTACCCTCTGCGCCCCGCAATTAAATGGAGTACATGGGGCTGAGTCGGTACTTTGTTTACCGGAGTAGGGGCGGGGTGGTATAACAATTACAAACCAGTTCTAGAGTAGGGGCGGAGTTGGTATGATTTCGCTCCTATGCCATCGGAATTATTTGAATATTTCTCATTTTTTAAAATAATTTTTAATTATAAAATCGAAGGTGAAATATGTAAATAATCACTTTTTGAGTTTTTCGTGTGATTTATTAACCATAAAGGAGTTAAAAGTTGAACATGTACCACGTCCTTGTTGCCAAACCAGAGAAAACCCTAACCAGGCAAAACCTACTCCGCACTACTTCTCCGACACCATAGAGGTATCCATTTCCTTCTGGATTCGGATCGCAAGTCCATGTAGGAGAGATTTATATATATAGATGTATATGTATATATATTTATATATATCTTGAAAATTATACAGTAATTAGCATTATAATTGTCTAAAATTAATTCGCTGTTTATCAATTGTACAGCTAAACAAAGTTTGAGGCAACAGATTTCGTATATATGACAAACATCATGGCCAGGTCTTTATCGAGCGCACTCTTTAAGGGTTTTGCGGCTCTTCCATCAGCTCGTTTGAGTACTACACTTGTGAGTTTAGAGCTTTTCTGATTGTAAATTAGTTTTTTTAATTGAGGTTCTTTGATTAATTTGTTTGGAATTGATTTTGTAATGCAAAAAGAATATGAAATACAGGATGTTTATGCTAGCGTATTTGTTTCTATATGGGTTGAAAATGTGAATATATATATATTTCGTAAGTAAAATTTTATTACCAAATGTGAATAAATTGATTTTAAAATAAGCTTGCAAGGCAAATGTGCAACTGAGATGTTACAATTTAGATGACAGGGAAACTGGTATGCAGCCTCAAGGGGGAAAAACTTGTTGCTAAAAAATGTTTGAATCACCCAAGAATATGGGTTTAGTAAGATTGTATTTAGATGCACCAAGGCTGGAGAGTGGATATTGTTATTTGATTTTTCAAATGAGGCAGCTAAAACATGGAAGGAGGGACAAGTATTTTAGGATGGGGGAGTAGGGCTGCAAAAGGATTCAAGCTGAGCCAACTTTGGGATTTTTGGGCTCTGCTTGCCATACTCAGATGAGCTTGAGATTGGCTAGTCTGAGCTTTGTTTTTCAAATGAGGCAGCTAAAACATGGAAGGAGGGACAAGTATTTTAGGATGGGGGGAGTAGAGCTGCAAAAGGATTCAAGCCGAGCCAACTTTGGGATTTTGGGCTTGGCTTGCCATGCTTAGGGGAGAGCTTGAGATTGGCTAGGCCGAGCTTTGTTTTTTATTTTCCTCTCCAAATATTATTTTTTTTCTTTCTAAATACAAAATACATGGATGATGTGTAAGCGTACGTATCGATTCTATATATATAATACAGGAAAAAAGTCTACAGAGAATATTACAGGAACAGGGATATGATACATATATTTGATACATAATGGAATAAAGTGAGATGAGATATACTTACCAATTGTGATCTTCTTCGCCTCCTTTGATGTTCAATTCTGATCACTTTTAACTTTAGTTGGAAAAGAGATGCACAAGAAAGAGACAAGAGTAAGATGGAGGCCATATCAGAGATAGAGATTGCAAAACATGAGAGAAACAAGGGACATCAGATTAGAGAGTAAAGCAGGAGGAGGGGGGGAGAAGAGAGGATAATATTACAATCTTATCTATAGCTGGATGGATATAAATGTATGACTTGGGCCTTTTGACCACAGTGGGTATAAACATTGTTTGTTTGGTTATAATAAGATATGAATTTAAGACACCTAACAAGATATGGACTTGATGGACCTAAAGTTTTTGAAGAAAAAGAGGCTATTTGACTGGCCTATATTAATGGGTTATATATATATATGTATGTATGTATACGTATTTTACCAAGCTCAAAAAGAGTCCTTAATCAAGTTTGTTAATGGGCTTGTTCATGAACAAATGAGCAGAGAGATGTTTGAGCTTAGCTCGTTTAATAAACAGGCCTCAGAAAATTTCAAGATTGGTTTGTTTACTGTTGACAAGGCCGTATACTCTAAAAGCTTAGAGCAGGTGTAACTTTAAAATGTTAAATCCTCTAACACATCCCCTCATGTGTTCTTAATTATCAGAGTGACTGTGATGTTTGAACTTAGGATCTTGCCTGCTCTGATACAATGTTAACTACCGTCTACTCTAAAAGATTTAGCTTTAAGAGTGGGTGTAACTTTAATATTTTAAATCCTCTAACATTTACCAAACAAACGAATACTAACTGAGTCCATATTGGCCGAGACAAACAGTTTGGTTCATTTGCAGCCCTAGGAGGGAGTACTTCTTATTAGGGAATAATGTGACTTTTATTTGTGAAACAATAAGTTGACTGTATGACAAAATATGTGAATTAATGAGTTCTCTATGTAACAGGTTTTGTTGAACTGCTAGCTATATTTGTAATTGATTTGTTAGATGGTGAGATACTTTCATTACATTACTCACTTATGAAATAACATAGGTTGAAATACGATGGGTGGTTCTGACTTATCAAAAAAATAAATAAATACAATGGGTGTTTTTGGTATTCCTTCTCTTTTAAAGCCAATCTTTTCTCGCATAGAAATCTAATCATGCTAGTACATCAATTTGTAATAAAAAAATTGGTTCCGGTTGAGTTCGATTTAAATCCCTTTACTAGCAAAAACTAAATACTGTTTTTTGCAATAGGGAAAATTACCCTTAGGTGTAATTAATGGACTCTAATGATATTGACATGGAAGGTGGTTTCTCATAAAAATGAAGGTAAGAAAATATTTGAGATGAGGTGGAAAAACACTCTATATATTGCCTGTCTTGCCCTTTGGGCTTTGAAGCGAGATGACCAGAATTCCCCATTTAACTATCTACCATCATTAGCAACGGTACATAATTTTGTTCACAAAATTTAGTATTGGTGCCCAAGCTTTACCATAGCTTCTTGCTATTTCTCCCTTGCCTTCTTTGTGTAGGCTTTTAGTTTAGTTTTCTTTGGCCTTGTTTTTATGTTCTTGTATTGCAAGGGTATGCCCTTGTCGTTAACCTTCTACTATGCTGTTTATATCTATAATTTTTTTCCACATTATCTAGGGAATTTTTTTTAGTATTGGTGCATAAATTTTTGTCACTAAATGTAGTGCATAAATTTTTCACTAAATGTAGTGCATAAATTTTCGTCACTAAATATGGTTCATGCATGCATTAAAAGTAGTATAAACACATTATAAGTGGTACATTAGTGCATTGGTCCTTAGCTGTCCTAATATATTATGGCACCATTGAATAAGTTTCTGTCACAACTAGCATCGGTGCTAGTTTTATTCACAAAATTTAGCACTGGTGTGTGATTGGTGTACCACTTTCTGTGCACCGTTGTATCGCTTTTAGCGATTGAAAGTCACACACGGATGCATAATTTTGCGGATAAAGTTATGCACGGATTCAAATGGTGACAAAAAGTTAACTGAGGTGATTTTGGTCATTTTAGTTCAAAGCCCGAAAGTGAAAGATGGAAGAGAAATTCAGAAAGCCCATGAATAGTACCTCATTGTATAGAATTTTTCTTACACAAAAAATTGGTGTTAAAACTTTAAAGTATGAATTCCTTTGTTCCTTACCTTGAAACTATGAATTAAATACGCTTGCATGTTTTACTAAATTTGAATTCACAAAAAATTGTGGTTTCTTATCAAGAAATTGTGAATTAAGTACTTTTGCATGTTTTATTAAACTCAAATTCACAAAAAACTGTTGTTAAAGCTTAAATTCCTTTGTTCATTATCATGAAATTGTGAATTAAATACGCTTGCATGTTTACTAAACTTTAAAGACTTGATACAACAGTTGGTGTTATTGAACTTAAAGCAACGGGCGCACCAGATCATCTGTATACAATACATCTTTATTGACCACACCAATGGGGTGTGTTATTTGTTGTTTTCATTTGTTAATAGGGATCTGTATCATTCTACTTGCATGGAATGCAATTCTCAACTACTGTTCCCAATGATCCTGACACACATGAGGATTTCAGACCCGCTAATAAGTTTGAGAGTTCTGGCCTTTCCTTAAAGGACATTGTTGAGCAGGTAAATACTGTCATCTGAAGTCTTCACATCATATTTGTGAAGTATGCTCCATAAGCTATGTGTTTTCCATGGCCTCCTGTGGATTATTTATTTATTATTGTTACTATTATTATTATTTTGAATTTATATTTAAACTGTCCATATATTTCTTGTGGTTGGCTTCTTATGTAGGATATAAAGGACAATCCCGTGATGATATACATGAAAGGGGTGCCTGAGCTTCCTCGGTGTGGATTTAGCTCTCTAGCAGTGAGGGTGTTGAAAGAATATCGTAAGTATTCAAATGTTCATCCATTCCTTGTTTTAAGTTCATTGAATATAAAATTATTGAAAGAGATGAAAATTCGATTTTATCCCTAAAAATGGGAATCGGGCAAGAATACGATTTCACCCTTAGAATGAAAAGGTGAGTAAAAATAAAATTTTACCCTTTAACTTGAAAAAGAGATAAATATATATGCGTGCGCGCGCGCGCGCGCGTGAAGGAGAGGTATTGTCCTTGGTTAAGGTATGGCTGTCCAACCAGTTTTGATATAATGGACTTGCGAGAAGCAAGTAATATCCTTTGGATTAAGCTTTTGCTAGATCAAAAAAATATACATATACGTGTGAAGGAGAGGTATTGTGGTTGGTTAAGGTATGGTTGTCCAACCATTTTTGATATAACGGACTTGAGAGAAGCAAGTAATATCCTTTGGATTAAGCTTTTGCTAGATCACAAGAAATGGATATTAGGCTTATCCCAGACTACATATTGTGTTTCTGATCAGTTTTGCAATGCAAAACTCTAAGGTGGGTTGTGGGCTAAATAGGAAACGAATAAAACAAGCAGCACACCACGTGCATTGAGTCCTATGAGCAATAGAATGCTCATGCCTTGAATGTTAATCCATTTCTTGATTTAAGTTCATTGACTGATAAAATTATTAAAAGAACTCATAGAGTGAGGTAACTTTGTTATGTGAACTTGACTCATAAAGTGAATATTTGGTTTAATCATGGTAATAAAGCAAGCTTTTTATTTCTAAAGCTGAAACAATAAATTGCTTGGACCTTTCTGTTGTTCATAAAGAACTCGTTATCTTTTGTTAGTTATTACATCGTTAGATTTAATTATTTAATTTGGGGGGTCATTGTTCGGTGTGATGGTAGAAGCTCGATTTGACAAGCGTTAGCACAGGTTTTAATCGAACTGTAGTCATGTTGTGCAAAATATTGCCAACGGTCCCCGAGCGAGAACCCCTGCTCCTTGGTACAAAAAATACAATGATATCAGAGCTTTTAAGCTCGAGATTCCAGGAAAGCTGGACAGTATGATGATGAAACATTACACTGGAAAGTTAAAGATCATGTTAACTCTGAAGGGATAGGACTCAATTCATGTTAACTCTGAAAGTGTAGGACTCAAAAAAGAAAGTCCCATTATCTCTTTAACTTAACTCTGTTGAGACAACCTGTTACAGGTATCCCTAAGGTTCTCCTTCCACAAGAAAAAAAATCGTAAGTCATGTCCTCATCTTTCGTGAATGGATTAGAAAAAGAATAATATGTTGTCAGTTTAAAGAAAGCGGATTCATAGTTATCGTGACACCACCTTTATTTTATCGTTTTCTTCAAAATGTGCATATGTGCATGTCTAAGCAAACACATTTGCGAGCTACCAGAAGTTGGCAGCAGGCGTTAGGCTGATGGTCTCTTCAGCTTAAATTAAAAACTTCAGAAAATTTGCTTGAATACACCTTTTTACTGTTACCAAAGAAAAATATATGACATTTTAATTTTCATTTTTTATTGGATAAAAATCAATTGCATACCCATGATTTTTTCCACTCTCTCCTGGGGTTGGACAATGTCCATATTCCTGGTTTCAATTTTATTAAACCTTATTTTAATTAATGTTGGAGATGCATAGAATCACTGGATTGGATGTTATTTAATTTACTACTACTATCTAATACGAGATTCTTTTCATATAACTATATATGTTTTTGGAATAATATAATCTAGCTCAGTTAATGGGTTTTAGAAGATTATCTGGAAAGAGTCACTTGGTTGAAGGGATATTTAAAAAGATTTTCAGGGTTTGCTGGGAATATTTGATGAGTTGTGGGATGGAGTCATGAAAGGGAAATTCTAATAGATAGATGGGGCCAACTAGGGCCATTGCTTAGTGCATCATTAATATTTTCAGTCCATCTCCCCCAGCATCCTTGATTAACTGGGCTTCACTGTGTAATGGCTCTTTTATTGATGGGGATAACTTAATTTTTGAGAAAAGAGTAAGGTAGTTGTCAGATTTATAAAGAACCATGCCATAATTTAAATGTAAGCTTGCGAAAAGGTTAGGGAGGCCACCTTATTTTAGTTTACTGTCCCAAAGTCATGACATTTTACAAAAGCACAGGGATGTTCTGGGCTTAGGGGGGTGGGGTTTCACAACATCCCTAACAGGGCTGTAAATGAACCAAGCTTTCAATAAACAGCTGGAGCTTGTCTCACTAAGAGTTCGGTTCATGTTCATTTGTTTAATAAACGAACCAAGCTCAAATAGAATTTTCAAGCTCTATCAATAAACAAGCCAAGCTCAAACACCTCCCTGCTCGGCTCGTTTGTCCGTGAACGCGTTTTTGAACAAGCTTAAGGCTCGTGAAAATACATTATATATACATATATATGTTATGAAATATATATATTCAATCCACATTAAATACCCCAAAACTTTTAATCTCTTACGTGAAAACCATACAATTTTGTTCCTTTTACAAAAACAAAACCAAGATGACCCAAGCCCATCATATATACACATCTATCTATTTAGCCATAGCGTTTGTTTCTATCTTCCATTTTCAGAGCAGCCACAGTTCTGTCACGCTACTTCGATGGCCACCGATTGGCCATTTTTTTCTGTTCACATTTCTCTCTTTCGCACTCCCCCAAAAATCCCTTTCTTTCCTTCATTTAATCTTCTTTTATTCAATCCGATGATGGGATCTCATTCAAACTGATTTTGGAGCTTCTTGTTGATGGTTGTTTTGTGTCTCTCAACTATCAATGGCGTCGGCGTTGTCCATCGATAATCAACTCTGGTAAGTAAATTTTTACCAAATTTAGCATTTTTTTTTTCTCTATTTCTCTCCCAAACTTTTTCTCTTGTTACTGCTCAAAAGGCATCCAGCAACTTCAAACGAACTGCTGGATGCCTTTTGAGAAGTAACAATAGAGGAAAAAATAGAGAGGAAAAAAAACATAAGAAAACAAACTATCGAGCCGAGCTTGAGCTTTGTCAAACATAGCCGAGCTGAGCCGAGCTCAAACATATTTTGTGGGCTTGAGCTTGAACAATCCACTACTCAGCCCAGCTCGTTTACAGCTCTATTCCCCCAACCCCTAAATCTGCCACTGATAGATATTGTCCATCACAATAGAGTTACAATCCAAACTGTACAAGCATTGAGATTATAATGAAATTGATTTAGTATTCTGAACCATCTAGCACAGCCACACAGGCATTGATGCTTCTCGTGTCAGTTTTCTCCTAGCATAAGAAGGCCTTTTTACCTGGCGTTGATTCCATTTATGTAGGATGCCTTGGGTACAATCCTAGTTTCTGGCGTTATTTTCATGAACTGGGGCCTTTAGCAAACAAATTCATGCAACACAACTTGATCTCTTTCCGTACGAGTTTATATCTTCTTTTTTTTCCCTCTCTTGATGAATAAAGATGGAGTTTCATCTTGATGCATGTCAACAACAAAATAATAGAAAAAACGAATAGTAGAGATGGAATGGGGAAAAAAAGAAAAAGAAAAAATAGGAGAGAAGGGCAAGATAAGAATTTGGCTTATAAACTAAATACAAGATGAACTAAAATAACCTTTTTTGAGCAGTTGATGGCCACATCTTTAGAAATATTGTTGTGGGAATTTATGTTTTCTTTTCTTTTTTTATTTTTGATTTCTAAGATGTTATTGTTTTCTATATGCTAGTCTTGAGTATCTTCTGTAATTCATGTTAGCAGTCATATTGTGTGTGTGTTTTTAACTAAATAATCCTAGAGATTACCTTTTTTTATTTTTATTTTTTATTTTAAAGGTGGAAACTTGTGTTGTCTATGGGGCTTTTGCATGTCCAATATTTATGAACTTACTCTATTGGTAGCACTTTTACCTTCCTTGTAAATGAACACTCTAAGCTATATCTGGCATTCTTATTATTGGCCTTCTACAGATGTTCCTTTGAGTGCCAGAAATATATTGGAAGACCCTGAGCTCAAGGAAGCTGTTAAAGCCTTCAGGTAAGTTGGCATTGGGTGACATCATACTCGTAATAATATTTTATTTTGTCTAATATACAACTAAATAATAGTAAGAATTTCTACTTTGCATTAGAACACCACCCCTCTGGCACTTCTGTGTTTTATTTGATTATATATTATCAGAGTATGGTGATTAGTAGTATCACTGTGTGCGTAGAATTTTGTTTGTACCGAGGTCACTTATTCCAGTGAGTTGGGATATCAGCAGACATGTTCCCTACAATCTTGCAGGGTCTCTCTCTCTATTTGGTTAAAAATTGCGTCCTCTTGTTTGGTTCAAGTTTAGAGACCTGAGGCAGGGGCATCTTTTGCTGCTCATCAATTGACATTGAGCGTTACCTTGAAGAATTGAAGATAACTGATTCTTTGAGATAAAGTATTTTCGTTATCTTGATTTTATTATATTTTTGCCTGTGTAGGGATTGGGGTTTGTTGTCGTGTTTGGGCAGAAAACAGGAGGAAAAGCTTAAAATGTTTTCATTTGTGTTCAATGCATTGAGAAACTCCCAAGTTTTTCTTCACAACATTGAAACATCAATAGACAAATTTTCACATGGATGAGAAATTTGTCAATTCATTCGTCAAATAACACTCTATTTTCTGAAACGCATTTCACCCACTCAATATATTTGGAATCAAGTTTACCTGTTCAGACAATTTAATAATTTATTGAAATTCCCACCATTTCAACAAATTACTCTTTTATGTTTCCTATTGAATTTAGGGTGTCTGCTTGTCTATATTGGCATCTGGTGTTTAAGCCATAGCCTGTTTTAGTGAAGTTAACGAGGAATTTATAATTTTTGTGAAAAGAAAATTCAAATTGCATGGTATGCTTGCTTCGCTAATACGATAATGTTCCTATACCAGCCATTGGCCGACTTTTCCTCAGATATTCATCAAGGGGGAGTTCATTGGTGGGTCGGATATCATTCTTAACATGCACCAGGTAAAGTTTCGATCTTCTAATTTAGCCCTCCTGTTTGCTGTGGAGAATATTGCCTTCAGCGGTTTCGTCTATCTCGCAGGCCGGTGAACTGAAGGAAAAACTCAAGGATATTGCAGCCAACCAGAAAAAACCGGAATGAGCTATTTCTTATTGAAAATGTAGAGCAAATCTTGCTTTTATTTTTGCTGAATTATTATGAGAAAATTGAGTGGTTATGCTTAGTTCTAGCAACATAATGCACACGAGTGACGGTTGTTTACTTATTTCAATAATGAATGTTAACCCTTTTGGGGGGCTTTGTTTGATATGGATTTTACCGTTTCATATATATATATATATATATTTGTTTTGTTGTCTTATATCAACACAAAATATCAACAAATTGACGTTACGTTTTTAGTTTCTTTTAATTTTCTTCCGAGTTGAACTCACACTTTGCCCTTGGCTTTTTGTAGCATGGAAATCACTTAGGCTCGTAAAATATTATTTTCGGAAAAGATTTTTATTTTTGAGGTTAAATATTTTTAGTGTTTGATAAAGGTTTAAGTCGAGATTAAAGTTGAGTCTATCGGGTGTAAAATAATTTGTGAAAAATTGATGAACAAATTATTTTTGTTAGTTTTTAATATTTTATTTTTTCATAAATATTTTACCGACAACCAAATATTTAAAAATAAAAAAAAATATTTTACAAAAAAATATTTTACATCTAAACAAATATCCCTTAATTATAAAAAAAAAAATGTCAAAAAGGCTTAGGCTTTGTTTAGGTGGTGTGTTGGTTAAAGCCAGGCCAGGTCCTCGCATTGGTTTTAGGGCCACGTAAGGTCCACGGTGATGTGGACCAAATTGTGTCACTCCAGCTCATGTATTGAACAATCAACGCTTTAGATCATTACCGTGGTCCATATCGACAACGAGGTACCAAGGCTTTGGATGGAGAAGAACATATATTATAGTAGCTTTCATAGGTAAATGATATATTCCTTTGCACAAAACGACTACTGAATTTGACATTCGAGCTACCCCAAGGGGGTGGCGGAGTGAACAAGAGTTCCATCTTAAAATCACAGGTCTCATTGTCAAAACTTCTCCACACCTAAGGGATTGCTCACACGGGCGATTATACGCGGGCACACTTGACTTGGGTGAGCATACTAATGACGGTTCGGGAAATTGCTTAATTGGACTTTTGCCTATCAAATGGAAGCTCCCTTTCCCACGCTAACCCAATTTCCAATTCACTTTTATGGGTAAACTTGTGATGCCAACCTTTTAGGTCTCTAGGTCTTCTATGTTCTCATAAATTCAACGGTAGATATCCATCCCAATACTACCATTCTATCAAGAGAGAAGTTCAACGAACATGAGAATTATATGAGATTACTTCAACAAATGAAATGTAAAATCAATTACTTCTTGTTATCATTGCAAATTTACAATCCTAAATCTCATTTTCACCAATAGCTTTCCATATTAATACTATATGTTACAATAATACATAACATATTACATCAAGTATAAAGTTTTGTTACAGGTGTCTCGATAGTTTAGCGGATTAATACCTCCAATGGGTTTTGGAGTGTCAGGTTTTGACTCTCTGTCTCACTAATTTAACTTCTTACCTTTTAATATATATATATATATATATATATATATATATATATATATCGAAAATATTATTCCATATTTAGTAAGCACATTTATGATTTATATCGTAATTAAAATTGACAAACAATAGTCGGCAGACAGAGAGTTGCATGGTGATAATATCTCCATTAATGTAGTCATTTAGTGAGGTAGGTATAGTTAATACAAAGGCCAAATAAACCAAATTTAAACCAATGCAAACTCTTCACATGCAAGCTGTGTAGAGACAGCTCCACATGGAGGATCTGAGGCATTTCTTTTGTCTTGTAAGGTAAATGATTGATCGAGGGGCTAAATCCAGTTGAAAATAAAAGTAACGAACATGTTCCGTATGCATTTTGTTTTTGACGTTTTATTTTAATTTAAAACAAAATAAGTGTTTTTGTGTATAGTATTTTGAATGATAATCGAAAACATGTTTGGTAACTTACATTTATTGCAATATTTTTAGAAGTCAAAATGAAAATATATTTGGTAAAAAAATATTACAAGTTTGAAAAATATAATGGTTAGATTAAAAATGTCATTAGAGAGTTTTTTTTTTTTTTTTTTTATAAAAAAAAGAAGAAATTATTGTTCATCACTATAGTGCTAAATGTTACCGTGCAAAAACATATAAAAACACAAAATTAGTATTCCGTTTTTTACCACTATTCACAAAATGTTTTGCATGCAAAACAAAACAGTTTTTTTACCACACACCAATTATTTTCCTGTTCACTGCTACACTACCAGACACAAGCAAAAACACCAAAAATTAAAAACATACCAAACAGGTCCTAAATGTATAAGCGTTCGCTAAAAAAACTATAGAATAAAAGACACATGCTTGTTCATGCATTCAAGGAAAGGGAATGATAGAAAATCAATTAACATTATATGGTACCCAACATGGTGCCACACTTAATAAAAATAGTAAATGGAAGTAAACAAGTTCTCAATAATTTAAGGCTCCGTTTGGATTTAATGATTTGAAATGGATGGATGCATATCCATTTATTTGAGAAGTTAGTGTATTTTCAATTCACCAAATCACAAATACACGAATTTAGATCATATGTGGTGATTGATCTCACTTTAAAAATATTTAAATTTAAATTAGAATTAAAATTAAAATTAAAAGTAAAAGGTATGTTTCTAACATTACTTTCATTTTTTTTTTTTTTTTTTTTCCCAGAAATTTCAAAAGTAGGTTATAAGTAAAAGCAACCAAAGAAACCCTAGCAATTAGCAATCCTCCATCAAAATAAATAAATAAGCAATAATTAAAAAAGAGAGAAAAAAAAAAAAGTTACTTTTTTTATTTTTATTTTTCCCAACCGTTTTAACTACCTTTGAAAAACCCAAATCATTCTCTTCACTAAAGTCTCACCAACTTCTTACTAGTCTCTCTCAGTCTCACACACCACCATCACACTGATCCTCTGAGTAAACCAAGTAAATTCCCAATCCATGAACAAGAAATCTAGAGAGAGAAAGTATGTATCTATAGAGAGAGAGAGAGAGAGAGAGAGAGAGAGAGAGAGAGCGCCAATTAATTCAACAACCACTATGAGCCTGCAAAGTTGTTGGATGGACACATCCAACATTACCACCCATCCCACAGTACTTCCTATTTGTTCACTCATCAATCCATCAAACCCTTCTTTAAAACCCCCAAATTCGCCCACTATCATTCAATATAGGGTTTCGTTTCTCTCATTAGAGATTTCCCATCTAAATGTGGAATTCCTCAGAAAATATGTTCTCAGAAAAAGCCGTAAACAGAGCCGATGACGACGAGGAGGAAGCCCTCCGGTGGACGGTAATGCAGAGGTCTCCGACCTACGTTCAAGCCCGGACGGCCTTCTTTCGCAACATTGCCGGAGAGTTATCGGTGATCGATGTTGGTGAGCTCAAAGATCAAGAGCAAAAGCTCGTCTTGGATCAGTTGGTTAATGCGGTTAATCAAGATACAGAGCTGTTTTTCAATAGAGTGAGACAAAGATTCAATGCGTAAGTTCAATCACTGTTGCTCTTAGTTTAGAGAATTTCTGATTATTGGGTGATTGTTATTTGTTAACAAATTGGACTTTGGCTTTTCATCCATTCATAATTTTCTGTTTGGTCGCTGAGAAAATAGAGGGGGAAACGAGAAAGTCAGCAATTCCCCATTAGCCCAATGAGATAACCTCTCCTCCCATAAAGGGAAGGTGAGAGGCTCGAGTAATCATTATCACTTGATTTTAGTTGGTTGCAAAAGGCATGGTCATGATAGTATATCTCATTAATGATGTTCTGGTGCATTATTTGTCCGTGTTATTAATTAATTCATCAAGTCAATTTATCACCAGGCTAGGAGTTGCAGGGTCAGTTTTTATTTTGAATTTCATAATAATCAGGATTTTACAATGGTTATACGGTACAGTACTTTTTTATTCTGAAGTTCTTTTTACAGGGAATTTTTATTTTTTTTAGGAGGAAATGAAGAAAGGTTTTGGCCAAGATGTTGGACTTACATTGTATTCTATTAGGGAGCATGTTTCCTTATTGTAATTGGTATTCGAATTCAAAACTAAAGACTATTGCATGTCCGGTTTCTTTTGATAACCATTTCTTGTAGTAAGACAGTTGGCCTGTCTTCTGTTTTTGCTCTTTGAAGTCCTTGTTTACAGTTCTTTCATCATTTATGTTTTCTTCTTCTTCTTCTTCTTTTTCTTTTTTTTTTTTTTCTTTTTTTTTTTTTTTTTTTTTTTTGGGTCCTATTTATGTGTGTTTCCCCATGCATTTCCTTTTGGATATTGTAGTGTTGATTTGGAGTTTCCGAAAGTTGAGGTTCGATTTCGGGACCTGAGGGTGGATGCCTTTGTTCATGTTGGAAGTAGAGCATTGCCCACTATTCCCAATTTCATTTTTAACATGACTGAGGTAAGCTTTTGCTTAACTGTGATCCATCTACAGTTTCATTAAATCGTATGAAAGTCTGACTAGATTGCTTCGTGGAAATATTTGGAAAAGGCTTTCTTGAGGCCATTGAGGATTTTTCCTGGCAGAAGAAAGAAATTGTCAATTTTAAATAACATCAGCGGTATTATTAGGCCTTCCAGGTAGTGTTTATACTTCAATATACTGATTGTTGATTTTATATGTCATTTTTCTTAACCCGATGGAATATGGTTGTTTTTGTAGATTGACTTTGCTCTTGGGTCCTCCAAGCTCAGGGAAGACGACATTGCTTTTGGCGCTTGCTGGGAGACTTGGACCCAGTCTGCAGGTATCCAGCCTTCTTATTTTATTTTTAATTTTATGGGAAGTATTTCTTATTGTTAAATTCGTGCATTGAACATTACTTGGTGAAAATGTGGACAAGTTTGGTTTGGGGAGTCTCTAAACCTCAATTCTTTAACAAGTTGTGGGTGCTTGACTTTGAACCTGATCTGTAGACCCAAAAGCAAAGTCATACAAAACGGTGACAAAGTATCTGATATGTTTCTGCTATATTATGATGTGGATCACCTGAACATGTCACCTTTGTCACAATTAACATGTTGGCACAAGGAATACTTCATAAAGGATATTGATAACTCTGTCATAGGTAGACTGTATGTGTCCAATAGCCTTGTTTGTGTAACGGGTTGTCATATCTTTCTCCGATTTGAAAATTGATTATTGTTGCCCCAGCGAGCTACCTGTGATTAATTTCGAGGGAACATTGTGATAGTTTTCCCTTTGAAGATTTTGTTAATTGAGTTACTTTAAAGATGTCAGGGAAAATCTCATACAATGGACATGATCTAAAGGAGATTAGTCCCCAAAGGACTTCCGCATATGTTGGCCAGCAGGATTGTCATATGGCTGAGATGACAGTCAGAGAAACAATTGAGTTCTCAGGGCGTTGTCAAGGTTTCGGATTTAAGCGTGGTAAGTTCCAGACTTCCAGTAAGTCTATTTTTGTGCATCTTTAATGTATGTATACATCCTTCTGATTTGAATTTTTTTTTTTTGGTTTCAATCATTGCATGGAATCATGAACACTTGACATAGATATGCTTTTGGAACTTTTAAGAAGAGAGAAGGCTGCTAGGATGAAACCTGAGGAAGATCTTGACGTATTTATCAAGGTATGAGTTAGGGTAAACTGTGAAAAAGACCCCCTGAACTTTCACACTTTCATATATTGCTCGCCTATCATAAAAAATAACTCTCCAAATTTTCAAAAGTTAGCAAGTAACCTCCTAATCGTTAAATGGAAAAAATTATGGAAGTGAAAATAGAAGAAGTTAAACTAAAAATATGAAAAATTACATTTTGGTAAGAAAATAGGGAATAATTGTAATTGTGTAATATAAAACACTTTGTCTTAGTTTTTAACCGCCATCACACGTCAGGGGGTATTTTCAAGTTTTTCTAAAAATTTGAATTATTTTTCCTGGTTGGACAAGCAATGGACATGGTTGGGACATGCCAAGAACATTTTTAGGACAGGACGGAGTAGTTTTGTAATTATTTTTCTAAGAAGATTGAAATTCCAATGCAATTTTTAAAAATATTTTGGGTTAATTAGAAAAGTAAAAATAAAGTTTAGAAAGCAAAAACAACATCCATCTAGCTCTAAGCTCCAAATTAGTGATTTCATTCATGATAATGTGGATAAAATGAGCAAAAATTATTATATAATAATATATTGCAGTATTATTTTTTGATGTATTCCTACCGTATCTGTGTCCTCTTTTTAGATTTGTCGCATTGCAGTGTCCGTACCGTCATACTTGTTTCCCCTATCCATATACGTAATTCCTAGATAAGGGGGAGTACTTTGTATTAAAATAAAAGTTTAGGGGAATTTTTTTGCAGTTTACCCTGTGTTAGTTACTATGGGAGTTCTCTTTTACCTTCTGTTTATGTTTCTGTGTAAAGAGCTCATATCTGTATTTATACAAGCATTGTTTTATTCTTTGTAGGCATTAGTATTGGGAGATCAGAAGACAAATCTTGTTGTAGAGTACATTATGAAGGTACGTTATTGAATGATGTATATTCTTTTTATTTAGTTATGGCAAATAATGTTTTTGCATTGCAAGGCCTACGCTGGCACAATCTTTCCATGTATTGATTATATTATTGAGCTTGCAATTGTAGGCTTTGGTTATTGTATCTTGATTCTCTTCCAAATGAGCTTTTGGTAATTTTAACCAAGAAAAGAAAACTGTTAACTATGGAAATCTCAGTCTTCCTCATTCCTACTATTTCATATAAATGTTATCCACGTAAAATTAGCTCACATCATCTTGTATTCTTTCTTGATTGTTATTATATACCCGAAAGCAATTCTTTTATTTCATCATAATCGTAAACTTATCTGCACATATGGTTGGTGTATTCTATTGTGGAATGGACATTTATGCGACTAAGAAAAAAATTACACATTTTGAAATCCTCCTGAAATATTTACAAAGATTTTAGGACTGGACATTTGTGCGGACACATTGGTGGGAGATGAAATGCTCAAAGGGATCTCTGGGGGCCAAAAAAAGCGGCTTACTACTGGTAACTACTCTGCATACCTTTAATCTTTACCGTCTTACTTGTCCATTGTTGTGGAAATATGTGGCTTGAATTCTCACATGGGCTCATGTATGTGACAGGTGAATTACTAGTGGGTGCATCTAGAGTGCTGTTCATGGATGAGATATCAACTGGCCTTGATAGTTCAACTACCCATCAAATTATCAAGTATCTTAAGCATGCAAACCATGCTCTTGATGGGACCACTGTCGTCTCTCTGTTGCAACCAGATCCTGAGACTTATGAGCTTTTTGATGATATTATTCTTTTGTGTGAAGGGCAGATTGTATATCAGGGACCCCGTGAGGCTGCTCTTGAATTCTTTGCGTCTATGGGATTTCGTTGTCCAGATAGGAAAAATGTGGCTGATTTTTTGCAAGAAGTATGTATATGGTTGGGCCCTGGACTTTTTGTTTTACCAAATCATAATCTTACTTTTTCCCTTTCCTATTTAATGTTTGAACACAGGTTATATCAGAAAAAGATCAAGAGCAGTACTGGTTCTCTGATTTTAATTACCAGTATGTACCTGTGGCGAGGTTTGCAGAAGATTTTAAGTCATTCTGGGTTGGTAGTTCTTTGTCCAAGGAGATGTCATGTCCTTTTGATAGACGATATAGTCATCCAGCAGCTCTGTCAACTTCCACTTATGGTGTAAAGAGATCAGAGCTTCTCAAAATTGGTTTTTCCTGGCAGATGCTACTGATAAAGCGCAATTCATTTGTCTATATTTTCAAATTTATACAGGTAAGGTTTTTGTGCAGCTTCATCAACTTCCACAACAGCCCATGCTTACTTTTTAGAGAGAGAAATTTTCAAGCAAAACTTACTGCAGTTGGAATCTTTGCTTAGTTGTAAAATGGCATACCTTGGTTAAAAATTGAGTTGTCACTGGTCAACGGAGTTAAATCCGGCTAAGTCAAAAGAATTGTTCCCCATTATGTCTCGCAAATCAACTTGTATAAGTCCATTTCCGCTGTTTTGGTGGGTGGTGCTCGATCAGCTAAAAAGAGAAATATTTTGTTACAATAAGTTTGGTCATAAATGCTAACATAAGAGCAGTGTGTTGCATTTTGCAGCTTCTTTTTATTATTCTGATCATGATGACTGTATTTTTCCGAACAACGATGCATCATAATACATTAGAAGATGGAGGAATTTATCTTGGTGCACTCTACTTTGCTATGGTTATGATTCTTTTTAATGGCTTTATGGAGGTTCCAATGTTGATAGCCAAGCTTCCTGTTCTTTACAAGCACAGGGACTTGCGCTTTTATCCATGTTGGGTTTATACACTTCCTTCATGGATTTTGAGTATTCCATCTTCACTTGTGGAATCTGGTATCTGGGTGGCAGTTACATACTATGTGGTTGGGTTCGATCCTCAAATAACTAGGTAAGAATTTTCTTTTACAAAGAAGAATCTCAGGATTTTAAAAATACTATTTTCCTTTGGAGTTGAATTGAATTGAATTCATTTGTCTTACATGGTAATTATGCAGATGCCTTCGGCAGTTCTTGTTGTATTTTTTTCTGCACCAGATGTCTATAGCTCTTTTCCGTACGATGGCATCCTTAGGCCGAAATTTGATAGTTGCCAACACTTTTGGCTCTTTTGCTTTGTTGGTAGTCATGGCTCTTGGAGGATTTATTGTTTCAAGAGGTCAATCTTAAAGCTTTTCTCATAGTTTACCTATTAGCTTCCCTCATTTTGTGCACTTAACATTCTTACTGTGACAGAGAGCATTCCGCGTTGGTGGATCTGGGGTTACTGGTTTTCCCCTTTGATGTATGCTCAAAATGCTGCTTCTGTAAATGAGTTTCTTGGGCATTCTTGGGACAAGGTAATGTGATTTTATGGTTGAATATTTCTATGGATCTTTTCCATCAAAGATTACTCTATCTACAGTATTTGACTTTATATTTTTTGTTCTCTTTAAACTGTTATAGATTAGTACATTCTTTATGGATATGCAAATTGAATAAAGTCTAGGGAGATTTCATCCAAAAGAAGATGATGTTTTCTATATCATAAAAAATATTAATGAATTGTGTGTTGAGATTGCTATATGGTTCTTCGTGGAGTCACTTCAGTAAAGCAGCACACTATACCATTCCTGAAATTCACAGAGTTTGTGACGATACATTAGGTCTCATGTTCTCAGGCTTTTAGCATCAGTTCCTTCTCTTTTCTGATGGATAACTTCAGTTAAAATGTTCCCTTCCAGGATGCATTACCTCTTTGACACTAAATGAGCTAATTTAAATTGATTGAATTTGGCTAGGAGCTTTGATGTAATGTATAGTTGGCAGTTTAAGTTTTATAATTTGATAAGGTGTTTGAAAATACACATATTGACTCATTTTCTTATGCCAGTTCATGAACTTATTCAAACTAAACCAAATGACCATCAACCTTTGTTTCTTTAACAACTGAATTCAAAAGTTACGCTTGAGCTCAGTCATCTAGCCATTATGAGCAAGTTTGACTGCGCTATAGAAGCAATTATGTTCAATAAAGGCTGTAATTCAATTGTTGCTGGTTTCAATGAATTTCTAAGATGTTTCAATGAATTGGAACTCAATATGTTTGTCTTTTTTCTTCAATAATTCTTTTCTGTTATATGACTTGTAGAAAGCTGGGAACAACACCAGTTTATATTTGGGTGAGATGTTACTGAAGGCCCGAAGTTTATTTCCAGAGAGTTATTGGTATTGGATTGGACTTGGTGCATTGCTTGGTTATACAGTTTTGTTCAATGTCCTCTGCGCGCTCTTTTTGACATTCCTCAACCGTAAGCTGCATCTCTTGGAACATCTTTTATGAGTGTTTTTCCTTGTTAGAATGGGTAGCATAGCAGCTTCTTACTTCTACATTTTCAGTGGCTTGCATTATTGACGAGCAAGCTCAGCATGATTATACCAGCAGACCTCCGCATTAAATTTTAGTTCTATAATGTGTTTGTTTTAATACTAATAGTGGCACATCTTTAAGCCATGGGAGTTTTCTGGAACCTTTTCCAGGAACTATTTTTCCAAAGTACCGATTGAAATTCTCAACTTCTTAACGATATACCATTCTAATTGAAAGAGCTTATTGATTATTATAAGGAGCCAATTTAAAACATATTGTTTTCTATCTATACAGCCCTTGGCAAACAACAAGCTATTGTTTCTAAAGAACAACTCCGAGAGAAGGACAAGAGAAGGAATAGTTCTGCCATTATTCAGCTAAGCGAATTTCTGGAACATTCACATTCATTTACTGGTTCGTTTAAAAGCGTACTATTTCAACCTTCTTGTGGTTTCCGATTTCAACAAAAAAAAATTAAATATTATATTATTTTATCACATAGCAGGAAGAGACATGAAAAAGCAAAAAGGCATGGTTCTTCCATTTGAACCTCTTTCCATGTCTTTCAGCAACATCAATTATTATGTTGACGTGCCCCTGGTATATCAATATCTTTTGTCTCGGGTACAATATATTTTCTTATTTTGTTGATAAATTCTTTATTATTAACCATATTTTGCTTCAGGAACTGAAGCAACAAGGTATATTAGAAAACAGGTTGCAGTTATTGGTCAATGTTACTGGAGCATTTAGGCCAGGTGTGCTTACTGCATTGATTGGTGTAAGTGGTGCTGGTAAAACTACTCTCATGGATGTTCTCGCTGGTAGAAAAACTGGAGGAATAATTGAAGGGAGCATACATATTTCTGGATATCCAAAAAAGCAAGAAATTTTTGCTAGGGTTTCTGGCTATTGCGAGCAGAATGATATTCATTCCCCTTGTTTGACTGTCCATGAATCACTTCTATTCTCTGCCTGGCTTCGATTACCATCTAATGTCAACTTGGAAACACAAAAGGTAACTACTGGCAATTGTTCTTTCAGCATTCGGCAATTGGATCATAGATTAACCATCATATATTGTTTTGCAGGCATTTGTGAACGAGGTAATGGAACTTGTTGAGCTCACTCCATTAAGTAGAGCTTTAGTTGGTCTACCAGGGATTGATGGGTTATCCACAGAGCAAAGAAAAAGGTTGACGATTGCTGTTGAACTTGTTGCTAATCCTTCTATCGTGTTCATGGATGAACCCACTTCAGGACTGGATGCCAGGGCTGCTGCCATTGTAATGAGAACTGTGAGGAATATTGTTGACACTGGACGGACAATTGTTTGCACGATCCATCAGCCAAGCATTGACATTTTTGAATCCTTTGATGAGGTTTTCCTCTCTTACTCCTTGGTAGTTATCTTTTGTAGCAAGTCTTTGTTCTCTCATGAAGATAGTTTAGAATACTCAGCAACATGAATAGTTGAACATTTCTAGATTCAAACTCAGAAATATGAATAGTTGAACATTTCTAGATTCAAACTCAGAAATATGAATAGTTGCAATTTTCTAGATTCAAACTTGGTCCCTAATTCACGCTGAAGGAAACTTTGCTTTAAGTAATATGGCTATTTTGACTCAATGTTTGGACAAAAGATCCATAATAGATTGTTCAAATATTTCAATTTTTTTTTTAAATTTTAAAAAGGGCATCTAAATAAGATTCAATCCAAGTATGTTTTAGAAGTTCATGAAAATGTCAATGAAGCTGGAATAAGTCAAAAGACTGGAAGTTGGATATTCGCTAAATTTGGCTGACACTCTAAGAAACAGAGTTAACTGAAGAGGGAATTCATCATTAGTTTGAGAATCCAAGTATTGCTTAAACATAAGGATCCTTTGAAGTAAATGTTTTCATGCTCTGTACATGTATGCATGCACGCACATATTTCTGCACGTTCAGTGTGCTCTGTCCTTGGTTTATGCTTATATGAAGTCTTATCCTCGACTTAATTTGGTTTCAGTATTACAGTGTGGGAAAGCATGTTGGTGCATTATGACTTGCACAAGCAAGCCATAAACCATTGTCTGGCATTTTTAATTCACATTGCAATCTTGAGTTCATGTCATGCCTGTTACACAGGGAAATACAATTGTAGATATTTCTTTTAAATCTTCTTCTACATGAAATGTTCACATGGTTAGCCATCATCATGACACCTGATTGTTATCCTTATCACAGCTTCTACTCATGAAACGAGGGGGGCAACTCATTTACGCCGGTCCATTGGGCACCAGGTCTAACAAGATTATTCGATTTTTTGAGGTAAATTGAAGCTAAATTAGTTACAAATGCATCTTATTGGACCACTACGTCAAAAATGAGTTTAGAATGTCCTCAACATCTTAATTTATGTTTTTGTTTTTCTAGGCAGTTCAAGGAGTCCTGAAGATCAAACCTGGCTATAATCCTGCTGCCTGGATCCTTGAGGTCACTTCTTCTGCAGAGGAAATTCGACTTGGTGTGGATTTTGCAGATGTTTATCGTAGATCAAGTCTGTTTCAGTATGTGTCTCTTATCATCTTCTGCAGAGGAATCACTATTTCACCTAGACTTCTCTTGTTCTTATGTAACTGATTGCTGTTTCAGGAAAAATGAAGAACTTGTTGAAAATTTAAGCAAACCGAGTAGGGATTCAAATGATCTAAGCTTTCCGTCCAGATATTCTCAACCATTCTTTTACCAGTTTCTAGCATCTCTTTGGAAGCAAAACCTGTCTTACTGGCGGAACCCGCAATACACTGCTGTACGCTTTTTCTACACAGTTATCATATCATTGATGTTTGGAACGATATGCTGGAGATTTGGTTCTAAAAGGTCTCTTAATGGAATTCTCAACTCTTTCGTTTATTGTCATAATTTCCTGATATATGATGTATACCTATCATCATTGCATATAATTTTTTCAATATATATAAGTTTCTTCAAACTTTTGAAATAAGTAGTCCTTCAGTAGGTATGACATTAATGGTGCATCCAGGGGTTGGATTGATTTTGACATGGTTCTAATTATCTAAATGCGCTCTCACGTCATGGCAACATGATGGTTAGCACTTAACAAAAGACGAAAAATGCCTCAAAGGGATTATTACATTTATTTATCCAAATATTATACCATTTGGACTTGTTGAGATTCATCTAGAGGAAAATTTTGATTACTCACAGTTTCACTTATATTGGTCACCCTTGTTTTTACAGGGAAACTCAGCAAGATATTTTTAATGCTATGGGATCCATGTATGCAGCAGTCCTTTTCATTGGAATCACAAATGCCACTTCTGTGCAACCCGTGGTTTATGTTGAAAGGTCTGTTTCGTATCGAGAAAGAGCAGCGGGGATGTATTCTGCTCTACCATTTGCATTTGCACAGGTCTGCCTTGTTGCCATTTTCATTTTCTTTCGATATTTTCGCAGAAATTGTTGGTCTCCAAATGGTGCGCACTCTAATATTGCTTAAATATTTTCTGCAGGTTACTATTGAGTTCCCTTATGTGTTTGTACAGTCAGTTATTTACAGCGCTATCTTCTACTTCATGGCCTCTTTCGAGTGCAGCCTTTTGAAGTTCATTTACTACTTGTACTTCATGTTTTTCACCTTATTGTACTTCACCTTCTTTGGAATGATGACAATTGCTGTTACGCCCAATCATAATGTCGCTGCAATCCTTGGCGCACCATTTTATATGATGTGGAACCTTTTCAGTGGATTCATGATTCCTCGCATGGTAACGCACTGATAATTGATTGCTCCTTCTGTCAGATAATGCATGAAATTGAACATTTATTGCACTTTTTGCCCAATGCAGCTATTTTCTATGTTTCTTCTCATAATTGATTTGTCTTTTCACTTCTTCAGAGAATCCCGATATGGTGGAGATGGTATTATTGGGCGAATCCAATTGCCTGGAGTTTGTATGGCCTTCTATCATCCCAATACGGAGACATTGATGAATCAATAAAGCTTGCAGATGGAGTCCAGACAATGCCAATTAAACAGTTACTCGAGGACCAGTTTGGATACAGGCATGATTTGCTGGGCATTGCTAGCATTGTAGTGGTTGGCTTCTGTTTGCTCTTTGCAGTGACTTTTGCTTTTGCAATCAAATCCTTTAACTTCCAGAGGAGATGAAGATGAGGAATGTAACTTTGTTCGGCTCAATATACGGTAACCACTTGTAGTTCTGTTGATTCGATCTATAGCTCTTTTTTTTTTCTTTTTCTTTCCCTGTTTTGTCATTGCATTGCTTTGCTAAATTCTCATACTAGAATTTGATTTGCAAACCACTTTATCGATGTCTGTCACACACAATTTAACTCCATATTTAAAGGACTGAGGAAAGACTTTGTCTCACTCCAGCTTTAGTGAAAAACTAGATTATAGAAACACAAATGGTCTTAGAAACTCACAATACCTTTCTGATACAACTCACAACACCTTTGCTGTCTGCATCACAAGAAGATCAATCTTTTCGTCATCCTGCAAATCGAGGAGAGGGCTTCGTATCAATACTTCAGGGTGCTATGTTCTAGGAAACAGACTTGTTTCTACCTCTCATCCACGTCGTGCTATTATTTTACAAAATTCAATTCAATGAAGCCTTAATCCCTTGGTAATCATGTGTATTTGTTCAAGTACTTGAACTAGAACACCCGAAACCTCTCATCTAACAGCAGTAACGGTCCCTTTTTTTAAAAAAAATCATACTAAATTGGAACAAACACTGCCTCAGAATTCTTTTCAAACATTTTCACACTTCTATTTTTCCTGAACTGTCATGAGAATCGCGGTTTCTTTGTGGTGCACTTACTAGCCTTGTTATAAGAGAACAAAAAAGTGTAAATTTTTCTGTTTTGTTACTTTTTTGCAAAATGAAATCCTTTTCATATGCTGCATATGATGGTGCTACTCAAATTTACACAGTTTTCTCTTTTTTTTTTTGTTGTTAATTTAATCCTATTTCGTTCGGGATAGAGAATTCTCTATCACAATGCTGATGAATGTTGTGGTTTATATGCAGCTCTGTGACTAAGAATTTATGGTTTATATCTTAGAAGGAAGGAATTTGAGCTCAATCCTGAGAGCATCATCAACTGAACTGCCAGACCAAACAAGGGTCGATTGGAATATATAGTAGAGTTCCACTTAACATTAAAGGACTTGATTTTGTTTTACACATTGAACTACAATGTATATGATAAATTAAATATATATGTAATTGGTTTTTATAGCAATTACCATTCTACTCTTATAAGTTGTATTCTGTCCCTCTTAAAGCCCACGAATATGTGGAATTGAATTAATTTTCTTCAAGGCTGTGCTCGGTTGCACAGAATGGAGTTTAAAATTGAAATTGGTGAATTAGGAAGAGCAACTCAGAAAACTGAATTAAAATTTAATTCCATGCAGCCGAACACAGCCTCAAGGAATTAAATTGTATAACAGATATGCAACGAGCCTATCTATTAGTAAGAATAAAAAAATAAAAAAACCTTCCAAAAAATAAAAAATAAAAAAGACATGCAGCCTATTCTCATAAAAATCAATGGCCATAAACTTATTCTTCAATTTCAGTGTTACCAAATGGAAAGCCAAAGAAAAGCTTGATTTAGATGAATCATGATTCAATGCACTATAACGAAGGAGAGGAATTCCTAATAACACTATTGATAAACCATGAAACCAGATGGGTCAATATTTATGTCATTGTCCATTGATATAGATAATATGATATATATATATATATATATATGTATAGGAATGGAGTGCTGATATGTTGAACAAAAAGTCCAAGTTGAATTTCTCTATGGACTTTTGAGGTAACACATGCTTTTTTTTTTTTTTTAATAAACACAAACGCGGTATTGAGTGTTTGGTCTTCTCAATGTTCTCATACTAACTCCATCCTTACAAATAAACAAACGACAAAATCATTTTAATTATCAAACTAAATATATATAATCTAGTGTACTTTCTTACGTTTTTCAAAATAAAGGTAAAAATGTTTGAATATGTGAATTTCTTGTCAAGATTTATATATATATATATATATATATTTATTGAACATGTCATGCTTTAAATTCCAAAAATTTGAGATATGAGAATAAAAGAGTAATCTAACCGTTATTATGTTTTAATATAAATTATTAGGGTAAATTGAGGACCAGTAGGGTATAATTTTAATATTTAAATTATCTAACATGGTGTAAGACCAAAAAAAAAAAAAAAAATTTGACAAATCATTCTCAACCAGGAAAATTTTAATAAAACCTTAAAAAAGCCATATTTGATATTTTAAAATTATGCAAATAAGACATTGGTTCAGTTCTTAAATATATATATATTGCCGTCAACCTTAATTTGTTCATAAATTTTGAAAATTCAACACTAACAGAATGTGACATATTGTACCATTCTAGAGAAATAGTAGACTCGTGATGCTACCTAAATATAAAAACTTTAGAAATTGACACAAATGGCTACATAAATATTATATATATATATATATATATATATATATATATATATATATATATATATATATATATATAACCAAAGACGGCTCAAGAGAAGAGTGTATATATGTATAGACCAAAGACGGCTCTAGAGAAATCAAAAGCTTTGCACTTTAGGGTGTGTGGCCCATCCTTCTACCAATTTATGAAGGCCATGTTTGGGTTTTTTTGGAGCACATTTCAACTCTTTGCTTGGAGTAGTTTAGGAATAGGATATGTGTATGACTTAATTTTTAATTAACGACCCTCTCAAAGTTACTAGGTGTTATTAATTCAACAATAATATATATTGAATTAATCATACATGCATACATAATTTAGATATTTTCATCGTATTAGACAATTTAGTAGGCAGTAATCATACATAGATATATATTTTTGAACTACCTTGAATGTTCCATATTTTATTTTTGAGAAGCAGAAGACATAGCATTGAAATCAAAATATTAAGATATCACTTCGTGATGTAACACCACGTCATGAAAAACATTTCAACTGAATCTCAATCCATTCTAAAGCTCTCTCACTCTAAATTTCATGGACTTCAAATTCTTTTTTTGAATATTTTCTCCTCGTAGTCTATATTCAATAATAACATATAAAAAAGCTGCCAAATGGTGTGACATGACCTACTGATTTTTTATTTTATTTTTTTGTGCCGTCTGATTCAAAATTTGGACCAAAGGAAATATTCCAAATGATCCTTGTCCCATTTATTGTGGGACATTATTTTCATACATATATTGCATTATTCATAGTGAATTCATATAGTTGAGTGTAGATGACATTTTGCGATCCAACAACCTTTGCCTTCACGGAACAAAGGGTCCACAAGATGCTTTGTGGATGTATGAGAATGCCAATCATATAAAAATCATCTGTGAATGTGTGTGTGTTAATATATAGAGTTATACACCTATATTGTTTTGAGATATGAAGCTAATTATTAGTGGGACCTTACCATCATGAACAATGTAATCACATCATATAGTATTTCAATTATAACATTCTCATGGTTAAACGTCATGCACAAAATAAACCATATAATTGGATTATTATTAATTTAATTCTATGTATCCGATTTGTAAATAAAATACTATTAGGTGGGAATCTTATTGTCGAAAACCGACAAATCAAACAAATTCATCTAGTGATGTTTATAATTCTTGTGATTCTTTGTAGATTCAATATTATTTTCCTTGTGGAGTAGATCTATAACTAATTTTATAATAATATATGATACTATAAATATCAATAATGTAGAGTATAATGAATGAAATTATGCATTCAAATCTTTGTGGATTTGTTGATAAGCATTTTAGATAATTGCTTCTTGTCTAATATTACCTAAAAGGAATTATTGGAAAGAAAACAAAGTTTTGTGAATATGCTCAAGAGATGAGTATGAATATCATGAGCTTTTCTTAAAATCATCACATGAAAACACAAAATAATATAAAGTTTGATTGATGTGAGTTGTGAGATCTTATATGATAAGGGGAGAGATTGTCAGCACTTATATGTATGAATACATTTTATAAATGTTTTTTTTTGAGAAAAATTGCAAGTAACAAAAGAAGAGCGTGCAAAGTGGATAATGTCTAACAGATTGGGACGGGTCGTGACAGATGGTATCAGAGTCAATCTCCAGTCGAAAAAAGGAGACTGTGCACAAGGCCACGAGGGAGGAGGTCGAGTTCTAAAAAGGAGTAATTGTGAGGTCCCACATTGCCTACATCGGTTGAAGGAAAGATGGTTGACGTTTATATTTGTGAACTCTTCCTCACTATATAAACGTGTTTTGAAAAAAATCGTGAGCATACGAATTGAAGAATGTGCGTGAGCAACGACTGGAGAGTGCAAAGCGACTCTTTCAAACGCTTAAGTCCACGTCTTAAAATTTGACACATAATCTTAGTAACAAAATAAAAAAATAAAAACTCATGAAGTGCTATAATGAGGTACACCTCATTGTTTTTCTCCATTTAAAAGTTTATTAGTTGATAAGTATGACGGGCATTACTCAATCGCCTAATTGGTAGTATCCAATTCATAGAAATTAGGTAGTATCCAACTCACGAAACGAGTATATATGTGTTCGAATCTCTCTTCTAATTTACTGGGATAAAAACAAAAAAAACAAAAAAAAACTTTTGATAAGTACGAGAATGCTAGATTTTATCTAAGGGAATCGAGTAAATGCATCGTAATATGAGCATTGCCCTGGGATTTTTACATCCCAAACACTCCTACCTTTGAGCAGGTATGTGCTGATCCATTGAATGTATAACATTTCCTTGGAATTGATAACATGCCAAAGATGCTTCATCGTAGCAACTCTATTCCAATGGTAGAGATTAGGAAGACTAAGGTCACCAACCCTTTTAGGAAGGCAGCGAGTCTCCCAATTCACCTTAGAACCTATTTTTTTTAGTGATGGCCCAGACCAAAGAAATGATCTGAATGTTGTATCAAGCTCAGCAATGATGCTCATTGGGAGAATGAATTTAGAGCTCCAATACATCTGAGTAGAGAACAGGAGTGCTCTTATGAGTTTTAGTCTGCCAGCAAAGGAAAATGATCTACTTGTCCAATAAGCAATTCTTGAAGTTATCTTGTCAATGAGCCCCCTGCAGTCAGTGGTTTTAAGCATTGTAGTGACAAGTGGTACACCAAGATACTTCACAGGGAGTGATCATTTCTCAAATCCAAGAGTGGATAAAATAGCAGTTTCAAGTTGCAGATTAACACGAGAGAGGAAGACTTGACTTTTGCTGTGATTCATCCTCAGGCCAGAAAGATGTGAGAAGGTGTCCAATACTTGTTTAAGTGTTTGGATTGATGCAATACTGCCATGGGAGAAAAGCATAAGATCATCAGCAAAAATTAAATAGGTAAGGGACATAGCTTTATATCTCCAGTGGTGCTTAAATGGCTTCTCCAAAGTGAATTTGTTGACAATTAAGAACCCCTGCATAATAATAACAAATTGTGATACCTCTTGATTCTAGAGCTACGGGTGATCAAGTCCGGGCACAGATCCGAAGGATACCAGATAGTCAATACATAAACAGGCAGGAATAAAACTGAATTAAGAATAAAATAATGATATGCTGAAAAGAATTCTAACTGTAAAACCTCCTCCAAAAATAAAAGTTTTAATATAAACTAACTTTCCAATCCGTACAACTCGGGAATCCAACTAGTGGACCCCTAATAATCTCAACTGATAAAACTTTACAGAATAAAATCCAAAACTAAAACCAGAAAGAAAAATCCTATTTAGTCGGAAGAGTGAGTGACTGTATTTGCATCGCCACGATCAAATCCTAAGCCTGGTACTCACGAACACCTGAAAAATAAAGGTGGGTCAGGCCCACATGCAAGTTCCATCCTACTACAATCCGTACATAAACCCGATACGCAGATACATCCTAGATAGCTCAACAATAGCTACAATAGTCCATAGATATATAAATACACATTATAGGATGCTCACTAGCCTATAACATAGTTCAGCCTGGGTAGAAGGTGACCTATAAAACACGCTTTTCAGTGGCCAAGTACCTAGACCTACCAGGGAACATTTGCTATATCTAGCTACTCAACCTTTGCGATATACGCACCCTAACCGTGATCAGGAGACTCAAGCTCGTATCACAGTACCATAAATATATATATAAATTCCTTCCTAATGCCGAAAGATAAAACAAGCATCCATTATGTCATTCAACTGTTTTAGTTGACAGGACATATATCCATGTAGGAGTTAACTATTTTAGTTAATCCATTCCGTATGTAAGAAGGGGTAGGACTTAACTTTTTGATCTAATCCATCCCTGATATGTCACCGTCCCATACCGGTAAATATAATGCAAATGATCCATAAACGATGCACATTCATTAGAACATCAAATAAATCCAGAAGCCAGCATAATAGAAAACATATATTATTAAGATCCTATTATGCATCCAGTATATGATTATAATCATTAATCCTCCAAATAAATTGTTAAAGTATTGATAAACAATTTATATTATCCACATCCATACAATTGATAAAACAGAAGTTAAACAGTTCATCAATTAACATCCATAACCTGTTATAATGATCAGCCAGAAATATGAACTAAATACATTATACTAGATATCCCAAACCATCCTCTCATACTATATTATTTAAATTGTCAAAACAAAGACAAGTAATGAAATCCTCCACAATCCTTAACAGCATGAAAGTTAGCATTTACACCACATGACGTCCCTTTGATCCTCCACTCCAAAACCTGTGCCTGATATAATATGACACTCTGAATTCCAAACTGCTCATTATATGAAACCCCAACAGTATTCCCATACTAGTCCATTTAGTTTGCTAAACCAAAACTAGCAACTAAAATTCTTACCACTCCTGACAGCATACCATTTAATATCTAAGTTAATATTGTCTATGCCCATATCCTACACCGAACTTTCTGGCCTCCATTAAAGCATATAAATAATTTATATAACATCCCAAAAGTAATTCGATACCAGTCAGTTTAAGTTATTAAAACAAACTTATTAACTTAAACATTCATCCTTCCTTGACAGCATGCCTATTCCACGTTTCTGTTTCCTGATGCCCCTTAAGATTAGCACCCTAGCATAAACCAACTATTTAAGGGTCTTAATAGGTTAATTTTAACATATTTGAAACCCCCTTTAATTTTCAGTATTTGCGTTTAACTCCAGAACTCCAAAAAAATTGCAGAAAACACTCCGTAGGGGTTTTTTCCCATGGGAGCCGGCTCCCCTTTATTGGAGCCGGCTCCTAGGCTTCTAGAGCCGGCTTCCCCTCATGGAGAGCCGGCTCTCTCTTCATGGGAGCCGGCTCCCACCATTCGGGAGCCGGCTTTCCCCCCTGAGAGCCCCTCTGCCTCGTCTCTACTTCGTCCGATGATTTTTCTGCGTTTTCGGCGAAGTCCGACGTTCTTGTCCCAAGTATTTTAACATTCCTAGGGTTCAATTTAAATTCTTAAAGTCCTAGAAACTTCTCACCATCCAGCATGCATTAATTGACAAAAATCTAAAACAAAAAACAAAACCGTATCAAAAAACGCCAATCATAGTTAACTGAACATATGAACAATCTAAAGTCTGATCACATGTGTCATAATTCCATTTTAAAGGTTAATTAACTTCCTAACCATCCTAACAACACCTCATATTCCATTATGAATTAATTTACAGAGGTTTAATACATAATCTAACAATTTATGCAAGGAAAGCCATCTTCAGTTATTATACGTTAACCAAATTTCAGACTAAACTAATATGCATAAAATTTGTTTTAAAAGTTTTAATTAAATTCCTGGAGTCTATTTAGAATGCACAGAACACAAGTTTACAGGAAGGAGAGAATGAAACTTGCCTTTAGATTTCGTTTTGAAACCTTACAGCCGCATCGTCTCTAAGTTTCAGAATGTTTTCCAAGACCTTCCTTCCTCTACTCACTGCTCTAGTTCTATCTTTCCATCAACCTCTTCCTTCCTCCTAGACATGAGCTTAAAACCATAGCCAAAGCCCTTTCCCAGTGCCCTTCACGTTTTTCCCTCACCTCTCTGTTTCTCTGTTTTCTAATACGCGAATAAGGTGTCTCACAAGAACCCTTGCTGACATATAATGTTCTATATATATATACCTATGAACAACCCTAATCCTAAGTCCATCCCAACTACAAGTCGGCTATCCTATCTACATCAATTAAAACCCTAAATTTACACTATATATAAAACCAAATAAAACAAATAATCTATTTAAATCATAAATTAATCAAATAATTAAATTAACTCACAAATAAAACAATTACAGTTAAAACCACAAACTAATCAGATAATTTAAATTAAAACAATTTCAATTCAACAATTAAATTAAACACATAAATTATAATTAAGCAATTAAGCAAATACACATAAAATAATTTCACCAATTAAACAATTAATTTAAACAACTAAGTCATATAATTAAATACAAATGAAATCAAAAATCTAAATCTAAAATTTAAATTTCCATTTTATCCTTTTGAAAACTAGGAGTATTACACAAATAAAAAGGGTGACAAGGGATCTCCTTGTCTCAGTCCTTTAATACTCCTGAAATGACCATTGAATTCACCATTAACAAAAATGGTGAATGAGGGAGAGGTGACACATGCTTGGATCCAGGCAATGAATTAAACAGGAAAGCTAAAGAGCTTGAGAGAATCAAACAAGAATTCCCAAGACACGAAATCAAAGGCTTTTTGTAAGTCCACTTTGAGTGTACACCTTGGTGAGTGACCTTGCCTATGATAACCATTGAGGAGCTCCTATGCAAGCAGAATGCTATCATCAATCAATCTTTCTTGAACCAAAGCAAATTGTGAGGGCCCAATGATATGAGGTAGTATGTGCTTGAGTTTGTTAGCCAGCAATTTAGAAATGCACTTGTAAATAGTTGAACAACATGAGATTGGCCTAAAGTCATTAAGTGATGAAGGACTGGATAATTTAGGCACCAAAGAAATGTAAGTTGAGTTAACTTCCTTGAGTAGCCTTTTAGTGAGAAAGAAGTCCTTAATTGCTAATGTAACATCATGCCTAATTATGGACCAAGTATTCTTGAAAAAGAATGTATTGTACCCATCTGGTCCTAGTGCTTTGTCACTATTTAGTGAGAACATGCACTCTTTGATCTCTGCTTCAGGAGGCATGGCACATAGCATGGTAAAGAATTGTGAAGGAGTTGTTGGTTAGATGAAGGGTTGAAGTGATGCTGAACCAGGATAGGGATGGAGGTTCATTCCAAGTGCATTATGGAAATAAGAGACAACTTCCTACTTGATAGTTTTTTCATCATCAAGGACCCCACCATTGACAGTGGTGATAGAGGAGATTTTGTTTCTGTTAAATCTAGAGGCAATTGAGCTGTAGAAAAAAGAAGTGTTTGAGTCCCCCTCCTTGAGCCACACCACCCTTGATTTCTGTTTACAGGTAAGTTCTTTTGAAGATCTAAGGCTTGTATAAATGGAGAGGAGAGCCTTTTTTTGTGCTCTAAGAGAGTAGTCATCAGGATTAACATCAATGGCTAGCTAACATGCAGAGAGGGAGTCCTTTGCAGCCTGAACCTCACTTTTGATTGCATTGAAGTTCTTTAAAAATTCCATCTTAAGGGGTTGCTTGAGCTTCTTGAGCTTGGTTATGACTTGAAACATGGGGTAGCCTTCAACATGAGACCTCCAGATAGATTCAACCAGTGGTAAGAAGGAATCATTCTTACTCCAGTAATTAAAGAACCTGAATGGAACTTTCCTCTGTGGTCTAGGATTACCAAGGCTGATAATCATTGGGCTGTGGTCAGAAATTCCAGGTGGAAGAAACTGACAATGGGATAGTGGGAATGAGTGGTTCCAATGCTCATTAATAAGAACTCTATCCAGTTTTTTTAAGATGTTGGAGACACCTGGACTTTTGTTGGTCCAAGAGTAGAAAATACCTGAGTAATTGAGGTCCTCAAGGTTGGAGTTGTGAAGGCAATGACGAAAATCCAACATAGCTTTAGTAGTTAAAGTTTCCTCCAAGGATCCAAGGTGTTGAGATGGTAAATGAATGTGATTGGATGTCAGACCAGAGGGTCTCTCTCTCAATGCATTCATTTGCAGCATAAATGAAGGAGATATGAAAGGATGTTCTGCAACTTATAAGTATAACTAGGCAGTGCATAGCTTGTCTAGTAGTTTGAAGGACTTGGAGGTTTATTTTGAGTGGATTCCAGAGTACCCAAATTCTTCCCAATTCTGAGTATTGGTAGTTGTGAGCAATTTTTCAATTTTTGGCAATGACCTGATGAACCATGTCAACATTGCAGGCTTTGATTTTGGTCTCAATGATAGAATCAATTTCTACCTTGTGTTCTCTGAGAAGTTGCTTTACTTCAACTTGTTTTAAAGGGAAATTGAGACCCCTTATGTTCCAAATGGCTATTGATACCATTTGATGGTATTGATAAAGCTTCCACCTGGGATAATTTTCCCCTTCTAAGGCCCTGAGGGCCTTCTATTTGCTGCATTCTTCTTGCTTTTGAAATCTTTAGTAGCTTTGCTTTTGCTCAAAATGGGAAGACTAACTGTAGAGTTAGTATCTGAAAGACTAGAGCATTCATCTTCAATAGGAGGGAGACAAGATGTAGAGATGAGGCACTTCATGTTGGAGGGACTTGGTTCAGCACTTATAACTGATGTGTTCCTTGGGATGTGGATATGTTTGATAGGGCTGAGGTTAGTAATGAGTTTCTCATTAGGTTGGAAGTAATGAGTAATGGTATTCTGGCCTTGATGGATCAATGTGATGGGTTAAGAGTCAAGCACAATTTCCTCTTGGTCCTTTTAAATACTAGTGGAAGGTTGAGAAGCTGAATTCATTCCAGCATTACAAGGGGAGTGGTAGTTTGAATCTCTATGAGGAATGGTCTGCCATTCAGAAGATGGGGCTACAACTTTGCTTTTGGGGGTTCTAGAGTAGCAAGTTTTGCTCGAATGTCCAAACCATTTGCAAACCCCACAGCCCCACAGATTGCAGGACAATTGATATATTCAATTATGACATTGACAACTTTTCCTGATTTGAGATGGAGCTTAAGAACATTGGGGAAGTTAGAGGTGGCTTTGACCTCAACACAAACCTTGGCAAATCTGGTTTTGTGTTTCTTCTCAGTGTAATGATCAGCAAATAATGGTTGACTAATGCTACTTATGGTGTAGCTTAAGCCCGGTCTTGTCCAAAGGTGGAGGGTAAGGCCAAACATCTTGAGCCAGATGGGAATGGAAGAGTGTACCTTCCTCTTGAAACATGGCTCCCAATGGTAGAGGAATAAGTGCTTATTTGCGAAGAACCATGGTTCTCCTGAGAGAATGTCATTGCATTGGATTTTGGATAAGAAATGAAATTCAAAGATGCCCTTCTCAGCACTTGTGACTCGCAAAAGACCTTTATCAAACCACAGGTCAGAGGAGATAGATTTAACCATACCAAAAGGCAGTGGTTTGTGCATAAAATATCCTAGGAGGCTACATTTCAAATGATCCAGACCAACATCTTCCACTTCTGCTGGTGGTTTCATGATATTGTCCACTGGATTTGTATGTTCCATATAGGTTAAAGTTAGCCTAACAATGACAGCCCAAAATGGATGAATGTGACTAGTGGTAGCACATGGTAAAGCTGTAGTTGTAGCACATGGTATGTGGAGTTGGTCAGTGGTAGAGTGTGGTAGGGGCTCAGTAGGTGGAGCTGCAGTCTTGTCTTGGTTAACCAGAGTAGGAAAAAGCACACTGTGTGTGGGTGAAGGGTGAGGTAGGATTGTACCTATTATGAGATGGTCCAACTTTGAATTTGAACCTAGTTCCTGAGACCGTTGACTGATGTGAAGACTGGTAGAGTGGTTACAGGAGTTGGAACATTGCCGTGGAGTCTGAAGCACTTGGCAGCATTGACCTTCCTCAGTAACTACAATAAGGAGAAGTGGTGGATGTGGATGTGATACCTGCCTTGGGCTGCAGTGGCCATCATCGGCTTGTGGTTGTGGATGAGTCTCCTGCCTTGGGTGTAATATCCCTAATTTTAAAAGGATAGTCCTGGTATTTAATTAATTGTTTAAATTGCATTTTTAATTGTTTAATTGTTTATTGGCGTGTTTTTTTGCAATAATTGATGAATTGTTTTGTTTAAGTGAATTGTTTTATTTAATGATGTTTATTTGAATTAATTAATTGTTTAATTGTATTTTGTTTTTCTGTAATTACATTAATTGTATTATTAGTCTTTTCTTTCATTGACGTAATTGTTTTAATAAGTTAAAATGCGTTAATTGTAATTTAGGGTTTTGTTTTATTTTCTTCACGTTGTGGCCGACTAGAATTTAATTAGGGTTTTTTGTCTCTAATTATAAGTGGACTAGGGTTTTTATATTAGCCTATATAAATAACAGTATGTCTGTCAAGGGTTTGTAAACCCAGTTCCCGTATATAAAGAGACAGAGAGAAATAAAGAGAAATAGAGAGATAAAGGCTAGGGTTTGGCTTAGACTAAGACTGAACCAAGGAGGGGAAATTGAGCTTGCTCATGGGTTGAACTAGGAGCAGCAGAGGTCAGTAAAGGCAACTAAGGCCCCGGAGTTGTCAGAGACGACAGTTTAAGATTTCTAAACTGCAATCAGAGGCAAGTCTCTATTCTAACTCTTTCCCTTAAACCTGTGTTTTGTGCATGCCTAGGTAGACTCTAGGGGTTTAATTAATGCTAAAACATATCTGTGATGAATGTTTAAACTGTAATTTGCTTCGTTGAATTAAACTGTTTTGAAAATTTGTAAAGCGTTTAATTGTATTCTTCTGTATATGCTTTTAAGCCTTGTGTAATTGATATTGTTAATGCATAATGATGTCTTATAAATAATCTGGGACATTAATTGAACACTGGAACAAGTATTAAAAGAATTGCAGAGGCTTGGGTATCGCCGGAGGCGAGAAAGACGAAGCAGAAAACGCAGAAAGGCTTCAGGGAGTGAGAGAGCAGGCTCCCAAAAGGAAGGAGTCAGCTCCCTCATCAATGGAGCTGGCTCCAAGAAGTGTGGAGCCGGCTCCTAGCTCTATAGAGCCTGCTCCCAAAGTTAGGGAGCCGGTTCCTATGCCAATGGAGCAGGCTCTCAATTTGTGAGAGCCTGCTCTCGCTCAGAATTGCGTACTGTTGGTTTTTAAGGTGCTGTTTGGACTGTACAAGGTATTTTCAATTTATTAGATTGATTTAAATGATGTATATGATTGTCATAAACCTGTAAAAATATAGGAAAACAATAATTTATAAATAGATTAAGGAATGGACAGTGTGAATTTAGAGAAAAATTCAACATGTTGCACTTTGGTTGTTAATCAACTTACGTACGGGAACTTAGAGATTCTTGTAAATATAATTTAATACTGTTTAAACATATTTAAATAGAGATATAAGTATAGTGAATTACTTAAAAATAACTATGCTTGGTTGGGATTAAATTGGTATTTAATTTGCTATAAACTGTATCAATTTATGAACGATTTGGAGGATTTAAATGCTTTAATTGATTTTAGCAATTTAAATAGTTCGAACATGATTTTTATGTTCTACAATGAATGCCTAATATCATTGTATGTGTATTAATTTATATTGATGCATACTTTGGAGAATGGTTGATGAATTCTTAGTGCTGTTTTTATCAATTATGCTAATTGAAGGATTGTATGCACCGGTATGGGACGGTGGCATACTAGGGATAGATTAGTTTGAATACTAAGTTCTACCTAATTTGGATTGAGGTATGGATTAACCATAAAGGTTAAGTCCTACTTATTTTTGTGTCATGTCAATAAAATAATTGAATGACCTATTTTGGTTTCTGAATGGATTGTTATACATATATCAAGCCACTATACCAGATGGATGATATTTTGTATTAGGAGTATACAGACTTTATATATTTATATTATGGTGCCATGGTATGAGCTTGAGTCTCAGGACCATGGTTAGGGTGCATATATCGCCTAGGATGGATAACTGAACAGTTGTTGTTGTTCCCTGGTAGGTCTAGGTACACATGACCACGTTATGTGCGATTTGCATGGTATTTCTACTCAGGCTGAGACATACCTATTGGACCTATAATATGTACTTATACATATATGAACTACTCTAGTTATTGTTGAGCTATCTAGGATGTTTCTGCGTATCGGATTTCTGTATGGATCGTAGTAGAATAGGACTTGCATGTGGGTCTGACCCACATGCAAGTCCTACCACTCTCTTATTTTTCAGGTGTTCTTCAGTTCCAGGGTTAGAGCTTGGTCGTGCAGAGCAGATACAGACACTCATTCCTCCGACTACGTAGGATTACTTTCCATGTTTAGCTTTATGTTGTGTTTCAGTTGTTTCCTTTCCAGTTCGGGATTTTATTAGGGGTCCACCGGATGGATTCCCGAGTTGGTAAATAAATAGAGGTTTTGGATTAATGGATTTTAAGTATTTAATTTTTAAGGATTATGTTTTAGAATTCTTTCAGTTTTTAATTATTTATTTCTTAATTCATTTTGAAATCTGTGTTCATTTAAATATTAATTGTTTGATATTCCTAGGGATGACAATGGGACGGGGCGGAGATTTCATTCCCCATCCCCATCCCCGCTAAAATTTTCAATCCCCATCCCCACCCCCATCCCCACTTAAAATTTCACCACCACCCCCATTCCCGCCCCCACCCCCACCCCTGAGCTCTTATCCCCGTCCCCGCCCCATCCCCGGCCCCGGCCCCGGCCCAGGCCCCGGCCCCGGCCCCGATTAACATATATTATTTTTTTAAAAAAAAACATAATTTTTCTTATTTTCATATATATACTAAATCGAATTTAGTAATAAATTATTAAATATAAGGGTATATTAGTTATTTAACCCTTAATCGGGGCGGGGCGAGTTTACTCCATCCCTGGCCCCGCCCTCGGCCCCGGCCCCGGCGGGTTTTCAAAACTTACCCCCATCCTCATCTCCGTTTACATAAAAGGGTCCCCATCCCCTCTATAAACGGGGCGGGGCGGGGCGGGGACCCGGCGGGGATGGGGAATTTGTCATCCCTAGATATTCCCTTGGGTTTAGGCTTAGGCCTGATCAATATTCCCTCGGGTTTAGGCTTGGGTCTGATCAACCCATGTCTGGAATTCGAGGGGTATCTCATTAGGCTACATTCACCTTCTTTAGTGTCCTCTTCCGGATCAACAAGTGGAGGGACGTCATGGTTGAGAGCAATGATAAGGTCGCTGAGTTTGTTATTCCTGGCTCTCAAATCAGCTTGACATTTGAGGCCATTCCCAATAATCTATCTGAGCCACTCAACCTCTTCAAGAAGATAGGAGTATTTGAAGTTGCTTTTGTACTCAGCAAGCTCAACTCTCAGCCTAAAGATTTCATCGATTATAGCTTGTTTGTTATTCGGATCAATATTAGCGAGAACATTGTTGTGGTCATCAATGAAACGAGAGGTACCAGGCTGGTGTATGACAGTAGAAAATATGACTTGCTTTGGATTAGGAGGCCGTGGTGGTTTACGTTGGTTATGAATTGTAGACTGAACAGGTTTTGATGCAACATTGGTAAAGGTTGATTGTTTTGATAGCTTTTTGAGAATGGATAAATGAGGCTTATCATTCGTGGCATGGAACTTGAGTGGCAGAAATGGTGGTTTAAGATGATTTGGGAGTGGGTTTTGGAAAGATGGTCGTAGAGATGGATTGGGAGAGGGATGGAGAGAGGGTGGAGGAGGCACAACATTCCTTTTCCCATTTAATGTATTATCAAACACTTAAAACTTTTTTACTACCGCCAATTTTTTTACGGTTCTATTGACAAAAAAATATATATATATTTTTTTCATTCTAATATCATTGACAAACGGCCCCCAAGTGTAGTTAGATGAATTGAAATAATAAAAAAATATGTTACGGCTATGCTTGGCAGACATAAAATTAGAGTTTTTGAATTGAAATTGATAGAATTAGAGAAAAGAAACTCAAAAAATTGAACAAAAACTTTCTCCAATTCGATTCCAAAACTCAAATTCTATTCCGCCAAACATAGCATATGTGTATTTGACATGAAATTACAATTTTATAAATAAATAAACGTTTGCATAATAATTCATGTAAGTATGTAACTAGCATGAGTAGAAAAGAGTTTGTTCAGTTGGTATGTAACTAATTCCATTTGGTTTTAATACTTTTGTTAATATATATATATATATATATATATATATATATATATATATATATAGTATTGGCAAGAAATACATCTCCACTCACACATTTTGGTAATACTTTTGCTAATAAGGTTGTTTTGAATTCTAATAATATGAAAAACCACACACAAATTGCAATTCAAAAACCTTAAGAAAGTTAGGTAGTGCAGCATCAAGTATATTAGTAATAGAAAAAATTCAAAAGCATCTGTTGTAGTCTTGTTTATTTTATCTAGGTTTAGTTCTTTTAAAATTTCATTTCTCAACATTTGCTTTGAGTAGATTAAACATGTATTAATAAATTATTTCCTTATCTGAGCATTGATATGAGAGTCCAATTTATATTGAAATTTGTTTGCAACATGAAAACTTATTACTGACCAAAAAAAACATTAGAACTTTTACCTTCTCATTTCTTGCTGAGTTAGACAAAAGATATATATCTATTTTAAATAATTTTTACCAAAGAAAATTGTTATGAACAAAAGGAATGTCAAATTATATGAATTTTAAATACTTTTATTTTAGATATTCAAATAATATTAATTTGTTCACCTGCACTAAAAGCTTAGAGAAAACCTTGTAATCTTAAATCCTCACTTTTTTAAAAAAAGTGTAACTAATTTGTTTGGATGCATGCAAGAAAACAAATGAAAATGATAGAAAAGAAAGAAAGGAAAGAAAATGACTACCATTGACCCATTTCCAAGTTTAAATATTAAAAAATGAAAGAGAGATAATAATCTTTCATTTTTTTAAAAAAAAGATAACTAGAAAAATGCAGAGCAAGACAAAATTGTATTTCATAAAAATAGAGTCAAAGTCTAAGAATAGTGTGATGAATTTGCTATTTCTATTCAGAGGCGGCTTTTTTTAATCAATTTTTACTGTTCATAAATGCACGGAGACCAAATTATCTTTCAGTGTACTAATGTAATGTAAAACTCTCATTTAAGAATGTAAAACTCTCACTTAAACAAAGTAAAACGTTTAATGCATTTAAGTATTGCACAAATATACAGATTTTGCTTAAGTAAAAGTTTTACATTATTTAGTAAATATCGTTTTACATGAGTGCAGTGAATGATTATTTTTTAGTGTTTATATTTTAATAATTAAAGCTTCCTTAGATGTTTCTTTAAAAAAAAAAAAAACTAAATTAACCCTTTTCTAAAAACAGAATCAATGTTACACACGTTTCATAATAATCATTTGTTTTTCAAATTTTATAAATGATATCTAAATTGATCTAGATCTTTCACTTTATTGTACAATATACTTAAAATTAACACATTTATTTATAAAGTAATGATAGAGAGTTCAGCTAGCTATCGGACACATTTGACTAATTTTATGTGATTAGGGATTGATATCATCATGATTCGACAATTGAGCACATTTTATTAAATTTATACGAGTAGAGATTCTAAAGCACTATCCTTACTTATAACGTTGGGGTAAGTTTATTAACATTAGATAGTCTGATCATCAAATATATTTGATTAATTTTATATGAGTTGGGACAGATATCATATAATGCAGACCCTAAATTATTATCTTTAGAGAATTTAACTATCGGATACATTCAACTAATTTTAGGTGATTAAAAATTGATAATATTACAATGCAAACGCTAAATCATTTTCTTTAAGGAGTTTGATTATCGAACACATTTAACTAATTTTATTTAAATAAAAACTGAAATCTTCATTATAGGAATTCTAAATCATTATAGTTACTTATATATTGATATTAATAATCGCAAATCATATAATAATAATAATAATTTTGGACCATGTAATAATTAATTTATCATATAATTAGATTGTGGTAAGTTTAAGGTTGTTTACATTGGTGACCACAAAGGGGAAAAGGACGGTTGGCTAAAGGGTAGTAATGAATGAGGTAATGGGGGATGAGTGTGAGTGAGGTTTGGTGGACACAGTCAACTAATGTACTTGAAAAGAATCAATACTTCATCAATTCCACCCAATCCTCCACTCCACATACCAACAAAAATCTCCCTTGCACCACTCCTCTTTTATCTTTTATATATATATGCGTGCGCACGCACACACCTATGTTGTTTAATCTTTGTTACTGTATTATAGTATATCTTTGTTACTTGAGTTAGATCGTTAATTCACCTTTTATTGCAGTTATTTACGGAGTATTTTATTTCTTAACATTTTTCTTTTAATTACATTCAACCAACAACAATTGGATATTAGCCATTTTACCCTCGAGCTTTTACAATTTTGCATTTTATTTGTTTACAAGTTGGCATTTTGCAGAGATGCCCTTTGAGTTTCACACATGACTACTTTACTCTGAATCTCTTAGGCATCAAATTATCTTATTTTATGTTTGAATTATTAATTTGAAAACAATTTAAAAGTTTAAGTATTTTTTTTTTTTTTTTTTTTTTGGGGTTGCAATTTAAAATTATTGCATCTGGTCCCTGCACAAGGGTAAATCTACCAACTTGCCCAACTAAATTTTTATTTTTGGGAAGATATTTTGCATAATTGCACTTCAACATGTAGACAAGGGTACAAGCAATTTCTCAAGAAAGTTACTCCTACATAAATTGGTACATAATTGGGACGCACATTGGCATTCTCCCTTTTTATTTATTTATTTATTTTTATTGTACTCTACTTGTCTTTTTAATAAAATAATAAAGGGGTTTCATTTCTTGTCATTTCTTATTTTATAATAACCCAATTATCCTTTATTTTACCATGATTTATAAACTCTTAATTAAGCAATATAGAATACATCTTGTTCTCTATTTCTATTTGGAAGAATATTGAGGAAAATGATTTTGTTTCTCCAACAAACTAAAACAATATGTCGATGTCTCTAGTAAACCAAAGTCATCGTTTAATAGCGATTTTGCTTCAATTTTTGATTTGTAAAGAAAAATTGAAGATTTAGTTACGATTCGAAACTCCATTTACTACATCCCAAAAAAAATCCATTTACTACATATTCTTCTTCTTATTATTATTTTTTTAAAAATATGGGATTGCAAAATGACTTTTTTCTCCCCTAATATCACTTCATAGTTTTAGTACCGTCCACTTTTTGTTAAGACTGAAAGGAAAGTTCTTTAAAAAAACTATTAGATAAGTTGTTTTTTATGGAAAAAATGGAACAAAGAAACAATATATGAATAAAGCCGAGAGAAATGCGAATATTGAGATGAATGTGTGATAAGGCAAGAAAGAATAAATTTAGAATTGAACATATTTGTGAGTTGATTTAAATAACAAAATTAAAGATAAAAATGAGAGAAAATCAATTAAGGCGGGTTGTTCGTGAGTAAATAAAACCATTAAATGAAAGTAACTCTAGCGGGGAGAGGGGGTTCAAATTCAACATAAGCAAAATGTGTGCACGTTTAAGGGTTTAAATACGACATAAGCAAAAGGTGTGGGCGTTTACTTTACCATTCAAAAACGAAAAAATAAAAAGACCATATAAACTTTTGTTTAACTGAGATATGATTTAGATAGTGCAAAAAAAAAAAAAAATTTCTTGCAGCCAACTCTAAACAATTGAAAAAAAAATCCTTTACATAGGGGCCGGCAGAACCGAAAAAAAAAAAAAAAAAAAAAAAAAAAAATTGAATAAGAAAGAGATATTATCTTACACTTAAGAGGAAGAAAGCAATTTATAGAAAAATTAAGGGATGCATTTATAAATAACAACAAAAGGCAGCAGTACTACACAATATACATAAAACCCAAACCCATCTTCTCTCTCTTCCCCCTCCCTCTCTTTCTCTCTCTCTCTCTCTCACACACACACACACCCCAGTGTAAGAAGAGCAAAGATGCCAGGGAACAGACCCAACAAACATACCCAGAACACAACAGCAGCTACGGAACACTTTTAGAGAGAGACATAGAGAAACCCATTTAATGCAAGAGAGAGAAAGTGAGTAACTTTTGCTTTTTAATGCTCTCTCTCTCTATATGCATATGTTCTGAAAAAGTATACTTCTTTTATATTTTTCTGAAAATCGTGTACACCCTTTTGATGTTTTCGTTGAGTGCACTCTTTTGTTTCTCTCTCTAACATTCGTACTTTCTTAGGGAGCTATGCAGCAGCTTGATGATGATGTGCAGATGAGATGGCCGTGTCGGTGCTGATGATGTCTCAGTCTCAGAGTAAGACCAATGCCAACAGAAACACCGACGAAGTGAAGCCCACGGTCTTCCATGACTTTATGGGTCGGAACTGTGGGTCAGATTCGTCCCCGGCGGCCAAAGCGGCCGGCGATTTCGGCGGCGATGCCAGGCTTTCGGAGCCGTCTCAGTCGGCCTCTGCCTCTGCCTCTGCTGGTGCTTCCTCTGGCGGTGGCGGCCGTGGACCCATAACCATTTCTGATCTGGGTTCTGGTGAGTTCATCAATTTTGTTGCCACAATTTGTTCTTTACTCTGTGTACTTGAATGGTAATTTGTATATTCATCTCTAATTAAATGGTTTTTTTTTTTAAATTTTTTTTTTCCCATGTATTTTATCTGTATCTCTCTGGTGGAGTGGGTATTTTGTTATGGAGTAGGTTCAGTGAGGTCATCACTGGTGCTAGTACCTTTTATGCTCTCTCTCTCTCTCGCTCTTATTTTATAGATTTTATTTGCCTATGGGTATGCTTCATTTCCATATCTTCTCTCTTTTTTTTTAGGCATCCTTTAGCTCTAGTTTTATTTTGCTTATTATTTAGTATGTAGGTTCAACAAATGTGATTAGTTTGTTCGTCACTTGATGTTGATGTTGTTTTTGCTTCTCATAGAATCATATAAAGTTCATTTTTTACACATTTGGGGCATTTCGTTTTGATAATACTTGTGCACTTCATTATCTTGTGAGTCTTCATCAGTTAATCATTAACGGATGTGATTAACAGATGCAGGTGGTTTATCATGATTCATGGAGCTTACTGGTTGTAACTGTAGTTGTGATTGTATTGTTGAACTGCCTCAATTTTGAGTTTGTTGATAATTCTTGTCTTAGGGTTTTTAAGATTGAAATCTGTAATGATAATTTTCTCATCAATTATGGTAGAACGACAGGTCGGAAATCATTTTGAGGGGGTGCCACTGTATGGCCCCAGAAGTGATCTTTTGGGCCCTGAGATAAGTAACAGGTTAGTGGGAAGTAAGAGAAGTAATTCAGATTCTGCTTTCATCGGGTCATCCAGGGGCGGGTTTCCACAAATGGGAGAAAGCTCGCATTTGATGAAGGTATGCATCAACAGCATTTTTATGTTTTTCTTATCACATTGTTAAGTTGGCTTAAGCCCATCAATATAATTTGTATTCATAATCTCTGACAGTGGGAATCTTCTTCATATTCAGATGCTTCGGAATGCAGGGGGAGAGCGACCTAGACCGTCCTGTGATGAGGAAATGTTCTTTGGTATGCATCAAAGGAACCCAACTTCAGCATCTCTTATCTTGCAGGTGCCTGCTGGAAGTAGGAATGATGCCAATGTTTCCAAATGGGAGCGTGCTCTTCCCATAAATGTTGGTCCTGCAGTGCAGTATCCTCCACGTGCAGGTCAAGTTGCAAGTTTTGGGTATCAAATTCCTTCGAACAGATCCAAGGATACAAATGCAGGTCCATCAGTAATTTCTCAAGCAGCTGCTGATGAAGGATCGAGGACTGGAATTAAAGGGTCTGGACTTTTGAGCTCCATTAATGCTAGTGGTGGAGTTTCTGAAAGACACCCATCAGGGATGTTGTCAAGTGAAAGCAAGCAGAAGTCTAAGACACATGTTGCTGACCCAGAATCTTCTATTCCTCCAAGGTAAATAGTTAAATATCATTTTACAAGTTATTATACCTTTGTAATTTGGGATGTGAAGGAAAATTGATGACTTGAAATTTCATCCATTTGGTGGCAGCCGACATGGATTGACATCTGCAAGTCGCCAGATGACTATATTTTATGGCGGTCAAGCACATGTGTTTGATGATGTTCACCCAAACAAGGTTTGCTTTCTGCTTGTTTGTGAAGATGACATCTCTGTTTAAAGTAGTTGGTCAATATTGTTTATCAGATTTATATGCTTATCTTGCATGCTTATCAAATAATTAATTGGTTATAAATGGAAGTGGCTAAGAGAAGGATATGTATGATTGATGCTCAGCTTGGCTGAATTCCACGACATAATCAATTGGCATTGAATATTTCTAAAATAAAAATAGCTATAATGTTAACTTGTAGCTTCAGTTTTATCGATTGTTTCTGGTTCTTCTGATCTGAGGATGTTTCCTGGTTGTACTCATCTTATTGAAACCATTATCTGCATCACACATTTAAACGTCCTTTTTAAAATGCTGTACCTGATATAGCATAAAAAGGCATGTATCGCAGATACCTAAGTACGAATATCATATGGACTCCATTCTTAATTATTTTTCAACTGTAGAAGATGATGTTTGAAGATTGCTTAATGAATGATTGTGCTTTACGAAGTATTTCCAACAAATGAATCAAAGTTGGGGATTAATTTCGCTTTCGATACTGAAATTTTGGATGGTTCTTCTTAATTAGAGGACCATTTTCTCTGGCCCTACTTTTCCTCTCTTTGGCAAAATTAGGCCGTCTCAGTTAGTCTATTTCTTTTTATCCTTTCTCTCTCTCTCTCTCTCACACACACACGCACTCACACAGACACAATTTTGTTGAATCTTCCATTTTACTAGCTCTAATGCAATTCTGCTTTAAAGAACTCCTTTCAATTCACTTATTAATAATGGCTTAATTGTCAAGCATGATTAACAATACTGCACCTGTTTCTACATTTTTTTGTTTTTTTAATTATTATATATATATATATATATATATATATATATATATATTTATGCTGAAATCATGCTTGAATATATTCTGTCATGATTTTTACTTAAATCTCTATTTTGAAAACCAGCCTCAAAACTTAAATTTTCCATTTCAACAGAACCAATGGCTTTTTTTCTTGCTGTCTGGTGATAGTGGATATCTCTTGCTACTCTTGGTGGCCGAGAGAGGCATACTTTGTTCGCTCCTAGGATCCATGGTTTCAGTTAATGGAAAAAAAAAAGAAAAGAAAGAAAACTGCTATTTTATTTGATGATAATAAAAAATGATTTTTTGAATCAAGAAGTTGACGCATATGATACACACATATTTATTTATATGTCTGTGTATATAAATTTTTTTTCATACTTAATGTTGGTATTAAGGACCATTGGCTGGTCAAATGGTAAAAGGCTCAAACTACAAAGCATAAGAATGCGGTTTGAGTATGAGATAAACTATTTTGTGAAAAATAATGCTAAAGTTTAAGTTTGTTTCTAGTCCACCCTCCTAGCATTCTGCTGAAGCAGAACCAACATGAGTAATAGCCTTTTTTATGTTTAATGTTGAAAATTGGCATGATGTCCATGCACTCATGCATACAGTCTAAAAGTAACCTATACCATGACAAACCTTCAAGGGCAGGTTGCATGAATCTCATTCTCATCCGTTTCTTTATAGTAATAAGTTTTTATGTATTTTATAACTATCTCAGATTCTCAATGCAATTCTCTTTTGCAATCGTCATCAGTACTCTTACACTTGTGGCATATTGTTTTTAACTTGTGGTCTTTATTGAAGACTGAAACATCCTAGTCAATATTTAGAAGGAAGACTTTGAATTTCTTTTGGCCTGTACATGTGCTATTCTTTTGTGATGTTTTGATTTTAAAAATTAAGTATGAAAAGAGTTTTCTATTATATTCCATAATTCATATATAATACAACCTTATATATTTCATATTTGTAGGACTTGTAATTACATTAAACTTAACTTTTGGATTGTTAAAGTATCCACTGTCTTTTGGTTCCTTCACAGTAGAAGGGCCTTCCCACTTAGATGCAAACTTCAAGGCAAACTGTCCCCTCATAATGTGGCTGGCTGTTTCTGAACTAAGTATCATTCTTTAGTTTCTTATGGAATAACATTGCATTTGTGGCTTAAGACAGTTATTATATGCTCACGAACATGCTTGGGCTCAGTGTCAGGCCCTCTTGTAGCGCCCCTAAGTTTGTATGCATTGAGTAGTACAGTACAACGCCCTCGAGTGTGAGACCAGCTGATGGTACTGCGAATTCTATGCGTAGGGCCGTCTTGTCACCATAGTGTCACGCCCCGCCTATGGAGGTTGTGCCACGCAGGCGACACGCAGACGTTGAGGAGGACGCTGCATGGCAACTGCATGGCGAGTGAAGTTTCTAGAGTCTTCCGGAGTTGTCTAGAGTTGTGTGAAAGATTCTAGATATGTGTAGTATATTCTAAAGTTCTCCAGAATTGTGTGGAGTAGTATGGAGAGTTCTAGAATATTGTAGATACTTGTGGATAAGTATGGAAGTGTGAAGAAGGTGGGAGAAGATTCTAGAGAATCGATCTCCACTGTTGGTTAGAATGCATCCTAGCCATCCATTAGGGATGGGGATGCCTATAAATAGGAGTAGGACTTCATTTTGTAGCCAACAAGTCCTAGAGTGAGTCTTGAGAGCCTTGTAGAGAGTTTGAGTGCTAGCCTTGTACAAAGCATTCTTTGAAGTAATAGAAGTGTTCTTCCTTTGCCAACTTAAGTGCCTTAGTGTGCGTGAGTGTGCAAGCCAAGTGGAGAGAGGGCGAGGGCCACTACAACACTAGTAAGCGCACGAGGGGAGTGTGTTGGCTAAGGTGTGCATGGGAGTTAGGCTGACCAAGCACTTGCGAGAGTAGAAGCAACGTCTTGGTGCCACACGGGAGTAGCTAGAGTGGTGCTTAAACTCTAAGCCAGTGACAATAGGCTAAGTTCAAGGTTGTTTTCTAAGTAGATTTCTTTGGATTTTTGGTAGGTCTAAAGAGCTGGGAGTTTGGTTGGCTCAAGACTTGTGCTTCCTATCACAGTGGGAATGCTATTGCCAAATCTGCAAATCTTTGAAGATATATTTGCTCTTAGGATTTACAAGTGATGATATGTGGATAAGGAATTTGTGTATGGATATTTCAATAGGTGATGCAGTATTTTTCTTTTCAGAGAATTTTGGGGGATTTAGAAAACATATTTTAGGTCTTATGTTGCAGTTATGTTGGGTGGACGTGGAGTCAATTTCAGTTCACTTTGTACTTGTAGGATTTTGTAAAGCATACAAATAGCCCTGTTGGATGATAATTAGAAAGCACTTTAGAGATGGATGAATACAAGAAATTGTTGAAATACCTCTCTTTTCTCTTGTCTATGGATATTCAGAGGCTTGGAAGTTGCATTGCCCTCTCTCTCTCTTTTCATCTTTTCTGTTCTCTCTTTTTTCTTCCTCCTTTTGTTAAGAGCTATGTTTCATCGACTCTGGTACGTGTGTTGGGTGTGGGTATGTTTTAAAGCATTGAACGTATCTAGGTAGAAATTGTAATTCCATGGAGGAGATTGTAGATTTTTTGGACTCCTTGAGAGTTTAGAGGCCCTATTTGGCCTTGTGTAGCTTTTGATGGATGCATTCCCCTTTTCAACACCTTCTTTTTAATGCATATATTACTTATCAAAAAGAAAAAAAAGCATTGGACATTCAAGGAAAAAAAAAAAGAAAAAGCATTGGACATATCAAATTTCCAGATGGAAGGACACATGGACGCTGATAAATATTTATATTATTTTGTACATTTTTATTTTATCTTTTAGAATAAAATAATGTCTTTATGTAACATAACATTCAATTTAGGCATTTCAGTCGATTTGAAGTAATGATTATAATAAAGTGAACTATTGTATGTATTTTATAGGGGCATGTCTAACGATATAGTTTTTGGGTGCATGTCCAACCAAAGTGTCAAACACATCTCATATTCATGTCCAAGTATTGTGTATCCCGATACTTCTCCTACTTTTGAAGAGTCCATGTAACCTAGAACTAGTGGCTTTAAACCTCACTTTCATATCTCTTTTCCTCCCTGTTATCTTCACTCGCTTTCTCATCATACTCGCCATGCAATTAAAAAATTGTTGTGAGAGACAGGTTATATAACTAATGTCATGAAGGCTATCCAACAATGCCTAGGAGATGAGGTCACCAAGAAGGCCTGTCTAAGGCAATGCCTATCTGGAAATATACATATCCTGATTTCTACCTCGATAGGATTTTATATTGTTGGATTGATGATTGATAAAAGCACTACAAATTGGTTATTTTCAAAGATTTACTGCTATGACTTCTTATGAAGAGCATTTTGGGGAAGATACAGAGGTTTTTTTTTTTTTTTTTTTGATAAGTAGGGAAGATATAGTGGTTTTGAGTTAGAGAGAGAGAGAGTAGACAGGGGGAGAAAAGAATCCTGGTAAGCAGTCTTCTCTCGGGCCTCCCATATTGTGTTGAGCAAAGGTTGGAGTGAATTACCAACAGGTCAGTGGCCTAGCGGTACTAAGCTCCTACTTCCCAAAGGGAGGTCAGGGGTTCGAGCCTCGGTGGAGGCATGTGTGTGTGAGTACCAATTAAGGAAAAAAAAAAAAAAAATGTTACAGTGAATTAACAGACTGATGAGATAGGTTTTTGGGGTGGATTTTGACAGCAAGGTTCAGTGGGTTTATAGATTTGTAAAAATAACTTTTTTCCAATACCTAGGTCGTATCACGGTGTGTAATTGGTTTGTAATTACCAACGGGCTAATGGCCTAGCGGTATCAGCCTCTTACCTCCCAAAGGGAGGTCAGGGGTTCAAGTCTCAGAAGAGACAAGTGTGTGTGAGTACCAACTAGGAAGACAAAAAAAAAAAAAAAAAAAAAAAATTGGTTTGTAATTCTATTTTTGGGGTTTCTTTATTCGTATCTTGTTTTATTTAGGTGACCATAGTGGAAAAGTTTGTTGGTTTGGGAACTTGATATCTGACAAATGGGCTTAAACTTATATATCTACATAAGAATTTAAAAGAGTTAAAAGCTCAAAGAGTCTAGTAAACACATTGATTGTTTGAGTTGCTGCTG